CAAGGATACTCTGGACAAGGATACTCTGGACAAGGATACTCTGGACAGGCCAGCGGATACTCAACTGTTTCACAAGTGACCCACCATGGCGGCTACCATCATTAAATCTAACGATTGCTTTCTTCTTACGGTTTTATGAATATTCTATTGTGTACACAGACTTCTTTGTATATACATTACAATGCACACTTTCATCTAGAAAACACTTAAATAAAATAAATTTTTAGAGAAAACAGTTACATTTCATGTGTTTATTCTTCTTCATTCTTTTCATCCGAGTAAAATACGTTTGATATTCATTCATTCATTCAAAAAGGTAATAAACATTTTATTTACAAATTATCTTACTTTCATCAGCTAAGCATAAAAAATATAATACGAAAAAAATGAGAATAATACTGTTGCGATTTATTTTGCAATCATTCATAGTCTTGGTGTTCATGAGCTTGAGCGTGAGTGTGAGCTATCTAATAATGATTGTAATGAGATGCTGGTGTCACATATTTCACAGCCGAATGATGAGGTTCGTATTCGTATGCTGGCTTCACAAATTTGGTGACTTTTTCAATTGGTTTAAAGAATTTTGGATGCTCAGGTGGTGCATAGTATTGTGGGACTGGGTATTGTGGTGCGGTGAATTGTTTAACTATGGGTGCAACAATTTTCTGATGCACTGGCGTTACGTATTTTGGTGGAGCGGCGACAATTGCTTCGGGCTGAGGTGTAAAATACTTCACTGGTACAACATGCTTAACCAATTCGGGTTCGTACACCTTCTTTATGATCTTAACATCGGTTGGCTCACGGCGGACAACAGCGTTGAAGCCATTGTGTTCATCGGCCGAATATTCGACGATTCGCTTGAAACTGTGAAAAGAATTGAATTTTTTTTTTCATCAATGGAAAAAAGCTAAAAGAATTGACAGGACAGTTCGAAAGTGGTTTTTTTTAGATGACCTTGAGTATTTTTGATTTAATTATTTCATTTTGAGTTATTATTGAGTCTTTCAAAAAAAAAGCGCATTGAATTAAATTGAATATTTGAAAAATTAGTATTTACCCATCTGGATCTAAAACTTCATAGCGACCATGTACGGTATTACCGTCTCTCTTCTCTGTATGGCTCTTAACATCGCCTGTATTTGGATCATGAACATCGTAACCAAATTCATACTGAGCTGGTTCGTCGTATTCAACGTGTTTGACATAATGCGGACTCTCAACATGTTTCACGTAGTGTGGATTTTCGACGTATTTCACATGGTGTGGTTCAGACTGAATGTATTTAACTGGAGCAGCTGGAATTTGCTTGTAAACTGGAGCCAAGGGAGCTGGTTGAAAATATTTAACTGGTTTCACATGTGCTGGTTCGATGTATTTCACGTGTGCAGGATGTGCATGAGGTTCATGAGGGTAATAATCCACAGTGACAGCATTGGATAGCGAGAGCACTGATAGCAGTGCGACAAATGGTATCTAAAACAAAGGAAATGCACAATTATTTAATGAATCACTTTCATTGAACTGAATTAATTTTCAAAGAAATATATTGAATTTCATTTTTTTTCTAATTTCAGCACTCACTCTGCACTTCATTGTATCCCAAATAAAATATATATATATATGGTAAAGTTCTCGATTTATTTGGTTGACTTGAACGTTGTTAGCTGATGAACGAAACGAATGTAACTGATACCACAAATCCCATGCACCGTCATATTTATACTGTTGGTCTAATTTTTGCGTACCGTTTGACTTCAATGTGTCTTACTTGCGCTGCTGTGGTTCCACCAATGTCCCACCACCAAAAATAGATTGCGATCAAGATTGAAATTTGGGTCCTTTTGTTCCAACGCTGAAATTCATGTAATTGAAAAAAAGACACTGAACGACAACAACGGTTAAGCAATCGGGCGAGAATAAGCGAAAAATTAAAATAGCATGTGGACTAATTTAGCAGCGCTATTAGCGGTTTGCATTCATCGACATATCGTTTAGCTTAACATCAAAGTCATTTGGCTTTCATTTGCGGTTTAAGCGTGAGCCACCTCATACGCTTGCGATATGTACACACACGTATGTCCAAGTACCATTTTATCTATTTGTATATTTGCATGAGTCAGATAATAATGATTTATAAGTTCAAAATGCGAATACAAATAACGGTGGCTTGCATGGCCCCACTAACAACGCACATATTCACCATCGTTCCATTCATAAAGTTTGGCATTTGGCATTCAACCTTTTTTCCGCTTTGGTAATGAACTTTCCTGTCTACGTTTGTCCAAATAATAAATAGCCCATTTAACTCTGGACCGGAGGCGCGTACGCGCACTCGCGCCAACATTCAATTTAAGCCTCTAAACTGTTTCAATAGATTATACTCGGAATTGGAAGCATTGCGCTTGTTTTTTTTTTCATTTTCCGTTGGCCACATTGTTCTTCATGTGTGTGCTTGTGCTGTTTTTTCCTTCTCTCCTATGAACTGAAACAAATGCCGTCCTAGACACTCAATTGTCGAAACCTACGCGAAGCATAAATCACAAAAGAAATTTTTGTCAGCCATCGCGATATGCAGACATAGAGCGATTGTAGTTTTTTTTATCGGTATGAATGTACCTACCTTCAGCCGCTGCTTTGCTTATTCACCTTATTTATTCGTGTGTATGTTTCTGCGTTTTTCGGTTGTCCGATTAATCTCACAAAAGAAATTAGAAGCAGAGAAATAATAGCAACTTTTAATTGACACAACCCAAAGTAAATATGGTTTTGTTCAACATTTAACCTAGTTATGGATGCCCGTTGGCAAAATGTTACCTTTGCAAAAAGTGATTTTGTCGGTGTCTCTCGATTTATAAAAGCCAATACCGATCAAATGATTTTTCCAAAGCAAATAGTGCATTTAGTTAATTGGTTTTCAACGCAATTTGGAACAACAGTAGAAAGAAACAGTCGAGGGAGAGAGAAAAACTAAAACATTTCTGATAAGTTTTCCATTGTTTTATTTCAATTCGAATCGCAATTTGCTGAACATTCAATGCTCAATGTTGAATATATGCGTGAATGCGTTTTACAAAATCTAAATCGATTTCTTTCAATCATTTTTTTGTTTGTTGTCCATTTTATTGAATAGTCTATGTTTCTTATCGCCAATGCGAAAAAAATCAACATTTAACTTGGTCAATGCCTTCTAACGCAATTCAGATTTGTTTCTTTTGATTGTAAATTCTTACAAATAACAATGATATAACTGAAGGTTTACAATTTTTCTTTGAACAAATGTCTATTGGTTTCAATTCAATCTAAAAATTTAATTCTCTGATTCCAATCAGTGAGAGAATTTTCATCAAAACAGATTTATTTCTCCTCTTTGCTTTCTTACAACAAATTCTACTTCGAAAATGTTTGCATTTTCTTTCTGTCGACAATTATATTTTCAAAATATAAATAATTATTTAGTTCAGACAACTGAATGTTCGATTGCGATCCAGAGTGAATCGATTTCTTCTGGTTAGCTCAGATGATCATGTCTCTTCCTATGTAAAAACTTGATAAACTACCACTTTTGTGGTATGAAAAAGAAAATTCATTGAAAAATAACAATTGTCGCCTGTTCTGATTTTCATTTCGAAAATGGTTGGCCATTGTTATTTTCGTGTGATATTCGTAGCCATTCAAACGTATTTATAGCTTGCATCGGTATAAAATGTTTGTGTCTGTGTCAACATCGATGGGAACTTACATTTACAATGATGAATTAAGGCTAATGCAGTTTGCTTTTGTGGCGTAGTCACCGACACTTTTCTTCAAGCTGCTCACCTTTTGCGCATCCATGAAAATGTAGAGCTTCGGCGACTTACGATACCAGCGAGTGCGATCGCGAACGAGTGTGTTGTACAATTTCGGTGTGAATGCTTTGATTGGAACGTCCAATTTCAACCCAAGTATTTGCGGTGAACACGACACAATGTTTTCGATGTGTTTATGAAGAAATTGTCCCTTTCCCTGGAAATGAACCAGTTGAACGTTGGGCAGATTTGCCACCAAATCGATAAACGTATCCCAACCAAAGCGATATTGTGACGATTGCATCTTGATGATTTTTAACGTGGTGAGGCTTTTCATGGCATATTTCCAGGCTGTGTTTTGTTCTTCATCGATGGGATTCGAGCGATCATGAAATTCGATGTGTAGCTGCTGAAGATACCACAAATGTGGCAGTGCCGTTGGAACGCGATAGTCATGCCATGAACATTTTAGTTGTAGCACATTCAAAGGGTTCCCAGGCAACTGCGCAAATGTGATGAATTTCTCCATTGACACCGATGCAGCGTCGAACGACAAATCTCCAAGACATGGAAAAGCCGTGCTGATATGGACGAATGCTTCCTCTCGAAACTGTAGCCCATAGACGTGCAAGTTGTCCCAACCGAAAAACTCCAACGACGGAATTCCCTTTTGCACAAATTCAAGCCAGAATTTCGATTCAGTGAGATAGCAATCATCAATTGTTAGCTGTTGCAGTTTGATGGCATTCAATGCGGTCAGGAATTTGCCATTTGATCCGATTCGATTTAGCGTCAATGACTTCAGTCCAGTGCAACTGGTCAGCAATGTTTCGAGGCAATGGTCAAAGTTGGCCGAACGACGACTGGCGTGAATTATTGTCAACGATTCGATTGCCTTGAAGCATTCGGGGACTTGTGTGCGGAATTCCGATGATTTGATATCGTTCATATCAAAGGAAATGGACAGTTTCTTGAGTTTTCCGTCCGAACAACGTTTACCAATCAGTCGAATGATCTCCTCGATCTCACTCAATTTGTCATCTTTCCATTGAATGTCACTTTGCTTCACCACCAGCTCCCGTACATGTTCACCGAAATGCTTGAACGCATGTCGAATCGAGTAGTGATTTCGGATTTTTGAGATGTTGAGCACTCGTGATGGCATGATTTTTTCAGCAATGATTTGCTCGATGCGTGTGTCTTCATCGGACATTTGCAACAGGTCATACAAATCCAAGTGATCTGCGATAAAGATGTTAAAAATAACAATTATCCGGTGTTGTTTCCTGCAAAAATGCCTTAAACTCACCAAAAATCTTTACCAACACCTCCTCATCCAACAAATCGAAGAACATTTTCGGTTTTTCTGTAGTTTCATTTGGTTTAGGTTCAGCTTCACTTAGTTCATTTAACGGTTCGGTGTCAGCTTGGCTTACACTGGCTGTGTCGTTTTGTTTCTCATGAATTACATCATCTGTAACGGTATTATTTGCCACAGCAACACTTTCGATGTCATTTACTGCAACAGACGCATTTTCCGGCTTTCTTGCAGCTAACGGCCGACCTTGATCTTCGTTTCCAACTGGTAACAGAACTTGAGATAATCGCTAAAAATGTCAAGCAAAAAATATTGAGGTTAGAAATCGGTTTGAATGATTTTTGTGCAATGCAAAATTGTTGACAACTGTATATCTTTTACTTACGCGTCGTTTGGCTGGCGGGACTTCATTTGGATCGATATTTTCCTTGTCATCCAGCTGTTGAAATGAACAAAATGTATAAATTTAAGCGTGGCTTTCAATAAATTCACAGAGAAAGCACTTTTCCAGTACTCACATGTGGTCGGTACGCTGCACGGCTGGTGTCCACTATATTCTGTGCAAAGCTTTGCCACTCATTGCTAAACTGTGGAAAAATATAGAAAATAACAATTCAATTGGTGACAAATCGTGCTAAATGACTCTCAGAATGTGATCGATTCAATTGTTGCGTGGTTCAAATCAATTAGAATTGGAATATTTCACTTACGCCTCGAAACCAGAAACTGCTTGGTTGACTCTTTTCGGAATCAGATCTATTATCCATGATAGCAATGGTTTTTCACCTTAAAAACCGCAGACGATCGATTGCCAAGTGCTTAAATGTTATTTGTCTCGCTATTTGTTTTAGATTCAAATGATACTTTTAACTTTTTCACGTGTGTCAAATCGCTGAATGTTTAATAATATGTAAAACTTTTGATTTTTCGATGCAAAATCACATGCGCTATGTTATAGTGTGTTGCTACGAATGGTGCGGATACTTTGAGCGACACAAAATACCATACAAACTGGTGCATACCAAAATTTACGGTAAACCGCCATGTTCTATTCTCAGTTGTGTTCATCAAAGTGTTTGACATTGAAGAGCGACAGAGAAGAGAAGCGCACGGCATTTTTGCTTCTGCTTGGTGTGTTCATACAAACATACACTTTCATGCAACCGAAGAACTCAAGTATGCTAACGCCATCTTTTGGTCAGTTGTATACTTACCTTGATTATAGCTCCACCCAATGAAGAAAAAGATTCGCCAATTCAATTCGTTTCAATTTTAATCATTTCTAATGGAGACGCTCAATTCTCATTCGTCTTGATTTTGAAAGAAAGTGGAAAAATATTTCTATCCATTTCAAGAGATAGAAAAACTCGCTTTTATGTTAGGCAAAATGAAATTATTTTTATTTGGACATTATCAATTCAAGTAGGCCTGGATGGGCTTGTAATTTCATGCATCATTTTTGTTATCATAAATACACTCATTTTATACAATTAAAATTTAAAAAAAAAACACCCGATCGGTCATCATGAGAAAGCCATTTGTAAAAAAAAACCACATTTATCTCTTCGTATTGAATCAGTTGAATGCTATACAATTCCGTTGCGATCAACGCTTCCTCAACTGTTTTGTTGGTTTTTGTTCCGTTCTTCAGCCGAAATGAAATCGATGGCCGCCGAGTTGATGCAGTAGCGTTTCTTCGTTGGCTTGGGTCCATCATCAAAAACGTGGCCCATGTGTGCACCACATTTGGCACATTTCACTTCAGTTCGTATGCGGTCTGGGTTTTTAAGAAGTAATAATAAATTGGTGCCTGATTGGTTTGTCGATATATTTTTTGTTTTGGAATTTTTGGTTATGAATTGATTTTAAATGAATGTTAGTCGTCAGTCGAATGTACGAGTTGTATGCCAACATGAATGATGTTAGTGCAAATTAACGAGAAGGATGTATATAAGTTGATGTTAGTTATAGGTGATGTGTGAATTTGTAATAAAATATATAAAATGAAATAAAAAAAAAATGAAGTAGTGGAGACGATGCAATTGTTGATGAAAGAATAAAAGAAAATGAACCAATATAAAGTGATCGAAGAGAAGAAGAAGAAAAAAATGAAATATTGATGATGATGATGTAAGAAAGAAAACACAAAGCCGAATTGCAAAAGAAGAAGAGTAAGAAAATAAAAAAGTAAATAAAGAGCCCAATACGAGGGAGATAATGAGGGAGAATTGCACATAAAATAATTCGATCCAGTTTTGGTTTGGCATTCGCGTCGAATCGCCCAATAACGTATGATAACGATGTGAAAAGAGATTAGCGCGTGGAGGAGTACCAGAGAACCGAACATCGATGACGGTGCAGACATTGAATTGCATGCACATTTTATTTTGCCAATGTAACAATTTTCCGATTTGATGTTGTGATGGTTTTGAATTGGATTTTAATTTTTCGTTTAGCAAAGCATTCAAATTTTGTCAATGTTTTTTGTTTCGGTTTGTTTTTTGAAGAGTTTAGAATGAGAGAAAAAAAGAGAGAAAAGAAAGATATTTCAATTAGATTACCTTCACCTTGCTAATCACCTGGTTGGCTTACAATTCTAGATTGAGTTTTTTTTTCTAAATTTCTAAATTTTCTATTCACAATTGTTGTTTTCTAAGATTATTTGTTTAATTCAAACGAAGAAAAAACAAATTAAGATCTGGCTTTGGTTAGAATCGCTAAAATTGATTGTTAATTCAAGAGACACGGAGAAAAAAAACATCGTAGTTGGAATTTTTAGTAGAGTAAAAAAAATGTTGGAGCTTAATGAGCCAAACCATTGAAAGCCTCGTTTAATTGAACAATTTGATGGATGTATTTTCATTTGCAAAAGCAATCGGATCAGTGATGCGATATTGGCGCTATAAAATGCATTTAGGGAGGAGAATTAAGCGAAGAACATCGATTAAATTATGCTCTACTTTCGTTAAAATACTCGAAACAATTGTTGCAGTGCACCATTTGCTCTGACGATATACACTGGTGAACCGTTTTGTTTCCATCGTTCATTATTAGCACATTTGCTTATAAAGCGAATAGTTAAAGAGAAGAAGAAAAAAATCGTATTTGGTTTTATTTCACTTTTCCTTAGAAATGTAATTGGACTAGAACTGAATGAAAGCATTCACGTAGACGAGAAAAGAAATGATCGCTTTGGTTTCGTTGAGTGCAGTGAGTTGCGTAGAAAGAGGGAAAACAATATGCGATATGTGATTTGCATATAAATTGTGTATGAATGAATGCGTTGTACAAATCGCTCGCAATTATCATATGAATGTCCGAGAATGAAAACGCAACTTCTATTCACAACACATATAAGTGAAACAAAAATAAAAAAATTTATTGAAATGAAACAACACAATCGAATTTTTTCAAAGTGTAACAACAAAAAAGATTTTTTTAAAGTGTAACATCGGTATGTTGTGTATCACTTATATGTGTTGTGAATAGAAGTTGCGTTTTCATTCTCGGACATTCATATAGAAATTCCCATAAATGGCTTTAGTTTCATTTCGATGGCATTGAGACAGAAACAAGACACACACACATCGACTGCAATGCCCAATTTGGCAAAAATTAAATCAGGAAATGTTTGAAACAAAAAAATGACCCATTGTCATTTGGCAATTGTCGAAAAAAAAATTGAAACAAAACTAAGCAAATCAATCAAATACGCACGCACACCAAAAAATTAAGCAGAGAAAAAAGCCGCAGTTCCGTGTCGTTCAAGGGCAAAAAGCAAAAGAAACATTTTAGCATTTGTACACAAAACGCAATAAATAATAGTAATAAATCGAAATGGTGTTAATATATATCAAATCAAAACGAAAGCAAAACAACAAAACGCAATCGATCGAATGTGAAATGAATGCGCATATGACATCGATTGTACGTACGATTCTATATATGGATCAATTTGTCATGTTGAAAGTTGTTCATTCCAAAATGTCGATCAATTTCGGATTGATTTTCATACAAACGCGCGCAGACCCATATGCGAATTCATGTTCACAGTAAATAGGTATAATTGAATTAATTGACAAAACAAAAAATGACAGACAACCACAAAATGAATGCGACAACCGAATATGATACGCGCGATATAATAAATGAACACATCATTTTGTGTTTTGCCAATTGCAATAAGATATTTACACGGGATAGAATGGTGTTCTATTCATCTCTAAAAAGTGTCATTCAATTTTGATTAGTGGTTTTATACCTGAAATGCTGCTATCTTTGTGTAATGTGACTTTTCCTTGTTCCAGAACATCGTTGAACGCTGGCCAGCCGCAGCCCGAATCGTATCTATTCATTGCGCGAAAAGCGCGAAAAATGATAAGAAAAAAAAAAGTTCTATATAAAATTTGCTTTTTTATGTGCGCGATTGGCGCGCAACTGATAAGAGATAAGAGATAGATGTCTTCAGCAATGTTATAGAAGACTTCGAGTACTACAACTAGTTACTTTGTATCGGAAGTGAATAGATCTTCGTGACACACGATGCACTGATAGACGCCTTTGTCGTAGCATTTATTGTATTTGCCGGTGAATGGACGCTCCGTGGCCGATTCCTGTGTCACCTGATATTGGATCGGAGTTAGACGTTGTCTAAGTGATTGTTTCGTTTCCATTTTGTATGTGCTGAACGATCGACGGACACACTGGCTATGTTTGAGGTAAATCGGTTCAATATATATGACGGATGAGGTAACGGCTGCAATGACGAAACACAAAATAAATCCAATCAATCAAGATATTTTCTTTCAAAATCTATTAATCAAAAAATGTATGATGGCCATAAAATGAAATAATGTATGTACTTTGCTTGAATGATACTCTTATCAGACGTGCAGCTTGGCGAGCTCGAAGAATGGATAGAAAAAAAATATGCACGTGTTATTCGGTCGACGAATGAAATAAAACTAAAATACAATTCGATCCGAAGCCGGAACATGCGCAATATAAACAGAAAATGGAATGAAGGCGCGTGAATAGAACGAATTAAGTGGTTACTCGCGAAGAGAGCGACAGACGAGTGTGTGTGTGCGTGTGTGTATGTGATCTCAAAAACAGGCGATAACTTGAGTGAAGTAAATATTTACTCAGCATATAGATAGCACAGAGATCGTTACGCCATTTCCATTTCGACGTGATTCGTAACATCCGTCATCGAAATATTAAAAAAAGAAGATGAAACATCACGATGAAATGTAATGATGTGATATTGCGTTACCGCCACAAATGCAAACGCCGATCGCCAAATATATAAATATGATTCATGATTATCGCGAATTGCGCGATTGAAGATTGGGCTACGCCCTCATCATGAAATATCGCCGTGACTTTATATGAACACTGAAAAGATATTTTGCTTGCTCTATGATTGTTTTGCATAGACTTTTTTCTCAGCGCGAATCGAAATCAGCGCGCTCGTTCATTATCTGCACTTTTTGTTCTAAATTCAATGGACTGTGAAGCTTCATTCGAACTATGCAATTGGATTATTAATGATTTTTTTCCCGACTTTAGTGAAGCGATGTGGTTTTGATATGCACAATGATTGCGCACCGCAAAAGAGTGAGATTTATTGAATCGAGCATTGCTGTACCGAGTAGTTGCCGTAGCTAGTTTACGTGCTTTTTATGTACATGCAAAGAATGCGACACTTTCACACGTTCACAATGCTCATTTCGAGTCGTGCTCAACGTGTTGAGACAAATGTGCGATTTTGATGTCGATTAAAAACCACGGAATGAATGAAGCAATTTGTAATTCCTTCCTTTCGTAATTCACTCATGGCTCAAATGACCTACTTTTCGTCGTATACACACGCACACAAACACACCTCCACCGAATTGTAATCCAATTGAATTCGATACGCATTTCGTCTGGCTATAACTAAAAACTAACTAGCTATACTTCACCTGACCATTAGACTAACCTTCAATCACTCTTCTGCTATGACTTAATCGATTGCTGAGCTGCCGATATGTGTTGTAATTGCGACTATTTACGTTTTGCACCACAGCACTGCTGAACTTCCAAAATCCAATTGACACCTTCACTGAATTCATTCGTCGTTCGACTCTTGCTCAGAAAATTCTGTGGAACGGAAAAGAAATACCGTGTGAATAACAAACGAATAGAAAGAGAGAAGAGCCCACACTGGTCAACACACAATTCACACTCTCTTTCTCTTTTCTGTTAAGCTCAGCACAGTCGAGAGACAGCCAACTTATGTATCATTGAACTTGTATGTTGTGGGTGAAGTTTTGTGTTTTGACACTTTGCTATTGAAAAATCCAATTAGAACCGAGGAAACCTTTATGTGTGTGTGTTTGTGTTATAAACACATATAACGTGTCTAGGGTTACAAAATCTTAGCTGAATACACACATCTTCACACTTCCAATCAAAGAAAACATTTTTTTTATTGTCAAATCAAAAAATTGCTTCCTCTGCGATTAGAAAACTATTCATGTGATATGAGTTACCGTGTCAGTATACTTTTCATCAAAACTCTCGAGTAAACAGCAACAATACGAAAACTATTTTTAGACTTTGACTGACTAACAAAACGAAAATACTACACCGTGAGAGCGACGAGTGTGGTGTAAAAATGTAACATCGACGTTCGGTCAACTAGAATCTGAGGTTTTATTTTGTTTGACACTTGTAATTTCTCATCATCATTCCGTCCTCTCTCTCTATCTCCGCATGCACATACGGTTGTCTCGCTCTCACACAACCGAGACATACACAGCGACGGAGAACCTCACATTTGAGCGCCAAATTTCGTTCAATGATGAAATTCGAAATGTCGAAATTCAAGTCATTGGTTTCGATTGCATACGGAAACAGACACAAATTTATGTTAAGAAAAAAATTTCTATGTGATTTTTTTTTTTATTTTCCATGATATTTCCATTTTTTTCATTAAAAATCAACGATTGGTTCATTGAATCAACGAGAACTACATTTCATTTTATCGATTTAACAAGTGGAAAAAAGTGGCTGCGTACATGTCAAACGAAACGAATTTCGCAATACGTATCCATTGAACTGAAACGCAAAGCATTCCGTCGCACTTAGACACATGCACGTTGTTTCATCGTTGCTCCGTACCTCAACACGAAAATTATGCCGCCATAGCTATTTCAACAAAGCTGTGTGATAGATGTTTGTAAGTCACTTGAATTCGGTTTTGATTTGAGAAAAAAGAAAAGAAAAGAAAAGAATTTAACCAATTGCTTCGAAAAATAGCAAATAATCAAACGGAAACAGTTTACTTAGATTGATAATTTGTCGTGTGAACAGTGCAAACCCGACGACGATTTAAATATTAAGTGTAGAATTCTCATAATAAAAAAAAACGCGATAGAGAGAAGCGACACTAGAAGAAAATCCAAAAACGAAAAAAGATGTTACGAACAAAGAAGGACGTCGACAAACATGTGCGTACAACGCTATCGAAATTACGCGAGGACGAAGTAAGTAAATGCATTTTATCGAGTGTAGTTTGTGAAAAGAAAAAAACTTTTGAAAAATTGATTGGATGTTGCGTGCGATGGTCATTCGTTGAAGTTCCGATGCATTGCTAGTAAAAGTATTGAGCTGTTGGAGGGAAACGTCAATTGACAATTGTGTTGCAATACCAACACGACCTTCGATGCAAAATTCAACAACACAATACAAAAAAATCATTGAAAACTAAAACAAATGGAACGATCCCATCCAAATAGAGTCGAGAATTTTCGGCATTGTCGACGACAGAGAAAAAAAAAACACATTGTGAAATTCGTTTGTGTGAATTGGTTTGATGACAGAATCGAGATTTGTTTGACAAAATGGACGTGCGATATGGATGTGCCGTTAACCGGTATACACAATCTATCGACGCGTTGTTTGCCATTTGTTTGTTATTTCAATCGCGTTTATTTATACCAATTTTTGTTGAAAAATGAAAATGTTCAAATATCGAAAAGTTTTCATTCTATGTATGTATTTCTGTTCAAAACAACAATTGATTGGATTTTTTTGTTTATTTTCTCTGTCAATTTTGCGCAGAAAAATCTTCGCGGCTATCGAATTGCTGGTCTGTATTACAACATTGGCGAATATAATTCTGCATTGGAATACATTCAGCGGTACATACAAGCCAACGATAAAAATGCAGCGGCATACAAAGTTCTAGGTCAGTGTTATGAAAAGTTAAAGCGGCCGGACAAGCAGCTACTCGCCTATCAGCGCTCATTGGAATTGGACAAAAAGCAAACGGATCTATTGGTCGAAGTATGTAAGTTATTGCAAAACAATGAATTGTCAGATGTCACACCGGCCAAAGCACGATACTGGTACGAATTGGCTGAATCGCGTAACATTCATGATTCGGCCGTGTTGAATTTAAAACTGAAATTCATGAATGGCGGTGACCAGTCTGGCGTTCAAGACATCATTCTCAAGGAAATCGTTCGACGGCCGCTCGACATTGGACTGCGTATTCGATTGGTGTACCACTTTTTGGATCAGAATCGAGTGGAAGATGCCTTCAAATACGTGTCCGACATTGAAATGAAACCGAACAGTAAGTTCCGAAACTCAAATGATTGGTATTCAACGCTGTCACTCGTGCTCGACAAGTACAAAGAGAAAAACTCAGCCACGATCAACAAAAATTGGCCATACTGGTTGCTATTGATAGCGACGATCGAGCGTCAATTGTTCCTCAAATTGGTCCGTTCACCGAAAGACGCCAACGCCATCGACCATAATTTACTTGAGGCAACCAATTTGCTCTTTGAACTCGACCAAAATCTGAATAAAGTGGCCACTGTGTGCTCGTTCCCCGACTCCGAACGCGATTTGGCTTCCGAGTTTTTGTCGCATTTCCGTGGCCAACTTAGCTTGCACGCCGCCTCACTGTTGTTCAAACGCGAAGCTGAACAATTGCAACGAGGAAATTGGCACGAAACAACCAAAAGCACATTGCCACTGCTCTTGTTGGCCGTCAACTTCGGTTCAATTGATGGCAATCAATTATGGTTGAGAAACGCATCTGAAGCAACAAAACAATTAGTGGATTTGTGGCAAGCTCAGAGTAGTTTCCGCGTTTCACAAGCAGCACGCACACTTCAATCGTGCATTTCGACCGGTTCGCACAGTGACAATGCGGTTTTGGCCAATCTGCGAAAGATTTGCACCGACAAATACAGCGTTTGGTCGAATCAAGACGATGTACTGAACGAAATTCGATCAACGGTTGCCGATTCAGATTGGCGCAAGAAATTGTATCGCAACCTTTTCTTCAGCAAGGAACAACAGAGTGCGATATCGGGATCGTATCTCATCAAAAGTCGTGCATTCGAAGTACCCGTTTTCGAATGGCCGGACGTCAACAATTTGACTGCCATCGAAGTCAAATCACAGGAGGCCGATCCATCGAATTTGGCACATTTGGTTTATCTCGCGCTCGGAAATGACCTGCGAAACAGTTCGAAACAATCACAAATCACCATCGATCCAGAATTCAAATGTGGTCTATTCCAAAATTTGAATTTCTCAACCGCCAATTTGATGAATTGCAACGCGGAAACACTCAGTCAACTCGATATCGACACATTTTTGTACGCCAGCACCCTGCAAACCAAACGAAACATCAGCATGGACAACACAATGCTTCCGAACAGCACACCGGTTCCGGAATCAAACAAGCCCAAAATATTGCCGTATGCCAACATGGCCAGCATCTTGACTACCGATGAACAAAGCGAATGGTGGACGGCTGCGTATAAGGTACTGTAATTGATTTTATTGCGACTTTTCAATCCAACCTTTTTGTACATAAAGTCATTTATCAATCATTTTTTGTGCACTTTCACAGATCTATCAAAACATCGCCGGCGACGAATTGGCCGAATCGCGTGCAACCTTGCAGTATGGAATCGAAGCAGTTCGTGGTGTTGGTACGCCAAAAATGGACCTGATCATTCTGCTGAAATTGGGTCAGATTTTCAGTAAAAAGGCACAAAAAACATCGAAAACGGTCGAGCGTGGATTTTTGGAAGATCGAAGTGAAGCCTTGTTCAAGTTTTCGTTGTACATGCTTCGCATGCAAACCAGCTCTCGATCCTCATCCGAGCCATTCCGTCGTCTGTTCAAATATGCGGCGGGAAATAACTTCTTCGAAATTGAGCACGAAGTGAATGCTTTGGCCGAGGAGGCGATCACATTTTTGGCCAGTCGTTACTTCAACAAAAACGCATTCGAAGAGTGCATTGAAGATTTTGCGGGAATAAAATTGCCGTTCGCTACATATTTCCAGGCAGAATCATACCGAAAACTGACTGAAATATCCGACACACCAAAGAAGAATAAGCGTGCGTTCTTGGATAAAGCGAGAGATTATCTGAAGCAAACACTCGATTTGCTGGATGGGCCAAATGTCGACAAAAATCATCCGTTAAAATCAATCGTCGATGAAGACATCAAGCGATTGCACAACGAAACCCGTAAACTCGAAACCAATCAGAGCATGAGCGATAGTTTTGTGAGTGCAAATGGACGTAGTGACTTGGAGGAATCGGTGGCCCATCTCAGATATGATCGCGAAGCGGAAACAGCAACACCGGTGCCACAAAGTGGCTATGACAACATCGAACGAATGATCCGTCAAATGATGGAATCGTTGAACATTTTGAAAGAGGATGTAGCCGAAGTACGGAACCGAGTGCAAAACATCGAAGAGCAACTCAACAAAGAAGATGGCGACGATATTGATTTGGACGACTACTACTTGGATGAGGAGCTACACAATCAAAATCATAACCTAAACAACACATCGATGCTGGCGAATGTAAGTAGAAATCAAACGTTCAATCAACAAACACCGAAATCATCACAGGTCCCGAAGAGTAATCTTCAGTTGAACGCAAGAAGCACACCAACGTCGGCGGCATTCTCGCATCAAAACCACCAAATAGGTTTGAACAATTCGTTCAACATGAATCCACTGATGAACAACATGTACGGTCAAATGCAGGGCATGAATCCATACCATGCGGCTCTTGCAAATGCGGCCAATCAGAACTACAACCAATTGCCGCAGCTCGGAGCCAATTACCAACAGGCACCAATTATACCGTATGGAAATGATGTGTACAATTTGCAGCAACAAATGTTGGCACAGCTGGCCAATGATGCGCGCAATCCGAATCTAATGAGTTTGTTGCAACAACAGCAACACACTCAAACGCCACCATCACAACCACAGTTGGTTCAACCATCGTATGCCATTACAAATCCATTGGCGTCGGGCATGTCATCAGTTGTGCAACCAGCAGTTCAACCAAGCCCATTGAACACACAACCATCGTTCGATCAAAGTGCGGCATCCATAACGCAAACACCGCCACAGAGACAATGGAATACGTCATTCAAGAATACACCCGTCGAAAAGGCTCCACCGGTTAATGTGGTGATCACAAGCTCAGATCCAGTGCCACAGAACATCTCATCGATCACAACACAGGCGACGCCGAATTTCAGTGTGACAATTCCACCGCAACACATCAAAAATAATACGGCCGTGCCAGCATTTGGTGCAGCATTTGCAAACCCAACCATCACGGCAGCTTTGCAAGACAAAAAGATTACCCAATCACCTACGAATATCAACGCGAAGACGATTACATCAACAGCCACAGTGCCAACGAGTCAAGAACAGAAATCAATCTTTGGAAATCTCTCGAAACCAGCCTCATCCACGCCATTCTCGTCACCCGGTACAACGCTAACGCCAGATACAAAGAAAACCGAAACACCAAAATCAGACGCAACCAAACCAAGCCCATTCGCATCATTTTCATTCGGTGTGCAATCAACAGTTGCATCCTCAACTGGAAATCAAACGAAACCGTTGTTTTCGTTCAGCAACATCGGCCAGTCATTGAACAAATCGGAAACATCATCATTGGCCAATGCTGCAACGCCAGAGACTCCACAAAATCAAATCGACGCAAACACCTCATCACATTCGGCAAAGGATGAAGAGGCAGACAACTATGAGCCAACCGCACACTTCGATCCAGTTATACCGTTGCCCGATTTGATTGAAGTGAAAACCGGCGAAGAAAATGAAATCACATTGTTTGAACATCGCGCCAAATTGCTTCGTTACGTGAAAGAAACGAAAGAGTGGAAAGAACGCGGAATCGGCAAGATGAAGGTGATGGTCAACAAAGAGGATCCGAACAAAGTGCGTTTGTTGATGCGCCGTGAACAAGTATTGAAAATTTGCTGCAATCAACTCTTAGCGAAAGATACAAAGTTCAATAAGATGCCAAACGCTGAAACGGCATTGACATGGTTCGGACAGGATTATTCGGAGAATGAGTTGCAAGTGGAAATGTTGGCAATTCGATTCAAAACGGCTGAACTCTGCAAACAATTCCACGATGCAATTCTATCGGCGCAGAGCCACATGACCGATGAAAAATCACAGTCAGCTAAATTGACATCGTCCAAAGATGACAAACCATCGAATAAACCAGCTGAAACCAAAGGATTTGGCGATCAATTCAAGCCGAAAGCTGGTTCATGGTCGTGTGAAATGTGCTATGTCAATAACAAGGCCACTGACACAAAGTGTCTATCGTGTGGTTCACCCAAAGACAAGAATGCACCACAGGACGATGCAAAAGCAGAGGCGCCGAAATCCACATTCAGCTTTGGCAATTTATCGGCCGCTGTGAAGAGTACACCACAAGACAGCGCAAAAACCGAACCACCCAAGTCAACATTCGCTTTTGGAAATCTTACTACAAAACCAGCGACGGCGGCTCCAGCACAAAATACAAACACCAAAACAGATGCATCGAAACCAACAGGAAAAGGATTCGGCGACCAATTCAAACCGAAGCCAGGCTCATGGTCGTGCAAAGCATGCTACACATCAAACACAGGCGATGCCATCTACTGTGCATGCTGTGAAGAACCAAAAGATGACACCGTTCCAAAGAAAGAGAAGCCAAACATTTTCGGTTCATCAAACGGTAAGCAAACATATGACTTTCTTCTCCATTTACAACAAATTCGTTCTTTGAAACAGTATATACTGTCGATTGCGTACATTTTTTCTTGAAATCCTTTTCATAAAATCGCCTCTTGTTTTAGCCGGTGCAACAAAGTTCAGTTTTGGCAATTTGGCTGCTGCTCAGAACACACCTGCTGCAACACCTGCGTCAACAGCAGCTTCAACGGTTGCCCCAAGCACCGCCACCAATACATTCGGTTCGTCATCGTTTAGTTTCTCATTTGGATCGCAGAACGCACCAGCTGCATGTGCTTCTGTTGTTCCAGCATTCAAGCCAGCCGAAGCAAGCGTTCCAAAATTGGATTCCAAGGAATTCAATTTTGTGTTCAAGGGCAAGAGCCCGGGAAAGCAACAGCCCGTTGAGCACAACGATGGCGTTGAAGACGTGTCCGATGATGAAAATGTTGAAGAAGAGGAAAGCACCGCTTACTTTGCACCAGTCATCCCATTGCCTGACAAAATTGAAGTTAAAACCGGCGAAGAGGACGAAAACGTGCTCTACTCACATCGCGCCAAATTGTACCGTTTCCGTAGCTCAGAATGGCGTGAACGTGGTCTTGGCTATGTGAAAATTTTGCAACACGAACAGACTGGCCAATTGCGGTAAGTGTGTCGAGAATTGAATTGAGTCAATGGCGTATTTCAAATCTGTCGTTAGATGGAATAAAACCCAACTAATATTTTTTTTAACTTTTTACTTTTTTTCATCCAGTGTTGTGATGCGACGCGAGCAAATTCACAAGATCTGCTTAAATCACAAACTTACACCCGATATCGAATACAAGCCCAAAGATTCAAAATCATGGCAATTCATTGCCAATGATTTCAGCGAGGGAACATATGAATTGGACAATTTCTGCTTGCGTTTCAAAACGGAAGAGATAGCCCAAGAATTCAGAAATGCAATTGATGATGCGTTAGCTGGAATTGCGGCAAATGTTGTGAATGACAACGCCAACGACCAGGCAGACGCTGCGTCGAATGTAACGGCTGAGGAGAGTAAAATAACCACCGATCTCAAATTACCGACCAATTTCTTTGAGTACAAGTCAAAGACAGACTGCACTGGTTGCCGCGGCTGTTCTTCAGACGATTTCGTGTTCTCTGAAGTGAAAGACACGAATTTCGGTCAAGTCGATGACAATCCGTTACCATTGGATCCACCACCGAAAGTGGACACCACACACAACGATTTGTCGAAGGACAGCAAGAACACATTCTCATTCGCATCATTCGGAAATGAAAGCAAAGGAAATGGCTTCGGTTTTGCACCAACATCAACCGCAAATACTACACAACCAACGGGCATGTTCTTTGGCAGCAACAGCTTCAAGTCGCCATTCACAACGAACACTGAGAAGAAAGATGCAACAAGTACACCGCCAACCGCTTTTGGACAGTCGAATTTGTTCGGCGGAAACCTAACAAAAACTCCATCAGCCGAAACAGTCAAATCATCACCATCATTCTCGTTCAATAGTTCGGCCGTTTTTGGAGGAAACAGTATGTCAATTTTTCAGTTTTCTTTATCTTAAAAAATGCTAACTTTTGTTCATTTTATCTTTTTCCTTCTCTGAAGCTGAGGAAAAGTCACCATTCTCATTCGCTACGGCAACCAGCAAACCTCAAGGTGAGTTAAAATAGAAATTTCTAGTCGAGTATATGCGGCGAATAGATTTGTTTTGTTCACTTTGACTTTGATACCAAATTTGCTTCTAAATGGATTAAAATGAAAATTTATGTAAATATCAACAAAACATTCACAGAAAAACCAGCTGAATCGAAACCATTATTCGGAACTGCAGCCACATTCGGTGCGACTAATGTCACGAAAACCCCATCGACAAACATATTTGGAGGAAATACGAATGGAAACAGTGATAACAAGGCAAAAGAAACACCCACCACTGGATTCTCATTCAAATTGCCATCGTCAACGACCCTAACACCGGTCACAGGAATTGATTCGTCGGCCAGTACACAACCACCGCCAAATTCAACATCGACCCCAGTCAGCGAATTGCCCAAATCCGTCGAACAAAAATCGGCCGGAACGATGTTCAGTAGCGCCGGTGGCCTCAGTTTTGCCGATCTTGCCAAGAAAACCGATACAAGCGAACCGTTTGCAACAGCAAACACTGTCAGCTTCTCAGATCTGGCACAAAACTCAGCCAATGGTTCACCGGCCTTCAGCAAAGCACCATCAACGACTGGTGGATTCTTTGGTTTATCACACAAAGATACGTTCAGCAATTTGATGTCACCGCAGAATGGCAGTGGCAATCAAACAGCAGCATCCAACGATGATGACGGTGAACATCACGCCGAAGATGCCAACTACGATCCACATTATGAACCAATCATTGCATTGCCCGATGAAATTCAAGTCAGCACCGGCGAAGAAAATGAAGAAAAACTGTTTGGCGAACGAGCCAAACTCTACCGGTTCGATTCAGACAACAGAGAGGTAAACATTCATTGAAATTCATTATCTTGAATTGAGAGAAAATCAATTTTTCCCGCATAAGATATCATTAAACTAAACCATGTTTTGTCCGTTTTCTAGTGGAAAGAACGAGGTGTCGGTGAATTCAAAGTGTTGCATCATCCAGGCAACGGTAGATATCGTTTGCTGTTGCGCCGTGAACAAATTCACAAGCTGGTTTTGAATATGGCATTGACTGCTGATCTACAAATCAATCCGATGAGACAGAACGATAAGGCATTCATTTGGGTGGGCCAAAACTTTGCCGAGGAACAGGAAAACGGTGAACTCGAAAGTCTCTCAGTTCGATTCAAAAATGCTGATTTGGCGAAGAAATTCATCGATACCGTACAAAGCTGTGTGGACAAACTGAATGGTCGTAATTGAAAGCACATAAGGCCAACCAAAACAATCGCTTTCGTTTAAATTTCAATCTTAATTTTTTTTTACTCTTTTCAACCATACACAAAACAAAATCTGTGAGAAGCGCTTGTTGAATTTTGATAACCAATAATGACGCTAAAAAAACCTGTTTACATTTGCAAAATCGGAACGAAATAAAAAATAAATTTTATTTGTAATTAAGAAATAGTTCAATAGGATTAGATAGCGTAAGAGTTCCTTTCAAAACGATTACCATTTAAGAAGAAGTAAAAAGAAGAAGAAGAAGAAAAAAACCGAAAACAATGGAAAATAAAAGAAACCTGATGGCTTAGATTTTCTGGCATAAAAAGAAATAAAATTCACGATAATTCATCAAAATGTTACAAATTTCTAAAAATAAATTGTGTTTTCAATGCATCAGCAGCGTGTGAGCGTGTTATATGGAATTTTCCAAAGAAATCCCATGTGTGTGCGTCCCTCATTTTTTGTCTCTTTCTCTCTCTCTCTCTCTAGTTCGCTCAATGATCAAGCGTAACTCAAGGTGTACGTGATTGCGGCGAAATGGTCAGAATACAGCGTTGTGCGCTAATTGACGGGATTGCGGCGAAGAAAGTCATTCGGTTGTTGTTGTTAGTTCCGTTTCTTGTCTTTCACGTTCTTTGCTTCTATATTCAGTTGGGTCGCTTAGATAAAATGCACACACAAACGACAACGGCAACGATGACTACGACAGTAGAGCACATACACATACGCACGCATGCCATGCCAAAACAACATGTCCTCGTACTCTTTTCATCCAGCCCGAAGACACAACAACGTCTTTGCCTACATGCGTCGTTTCGTCTCTTTCATATGAACCTAAAAAAAAGTTCACACATCGTCGACGTCGCAAACAAGCGAGCAACGACGAGCATCAGTAGCAACAGCAACGGCAACAACAACAAAAGCAGCAACAATAACCGAGTGCCGAACACAAACGCATACTGACGCAATTGCACGAAAACCAAGAGTGAACCCAACACTGGCATTTCATATCGGTGAGCATGTATGCGTGCATATACGTACATGTGCATGGATGTGTCTTGGATTTTGTGTGCACATTTTTCTACTGAGAGAGTTGCTTATTATCTTGCTAGTGTATTGTAGAACACACTTATAGTAAAATAAAGTGATTTCTCATAATTATTTCGGCGTTGTATTAGATTCTGAATTGAGATTCCCTTTTTTTTCAATTTGTATATTTTTTTTTAGTGATTGATAGAGACTCGACCTAAAAATCCCAACCATTTGTAAATCGAATTGTAAATTGTTTTTTAAAATTTCGAAATACAACGAAGCAAGTGTTTAGGTGGCATCCGGAGAGAAGATCAATCGATAAACAGACAATCGCTATCCGAACCGATAGAGAAGAAGAAAAAAATCGTAAAGAACCATAAGAAACGCGACTGAGAGAAATAGAAAAAAAAGCACACACTAGCCAGTACCTAGAAAACCAGAAAGCACACGGGAATGAAGGCTAATCGTATGAAAGTAATAAGTTTTCAGTGAATGAATATGTCATATAGCTGTCAAAGGTTTGTTCACACATTCCAAGTGAGTGCCATTTTCAGCATTCACAAGTACACACACACACACACGTCTTATTTCCATTTTATTCTATTTATCTTTTTCGAAATTCAATCAATTTAATCATTTATAATTAATCATTTCCGAATATTCAATATTTTAGTATAACTGAGAACGAGTCACATTGCCCTGACTGCTGCTGAAGGAAAATATTCAATTGGTGGGAACAAAGGCATGCGAAAGAGAATATTGCTGCATATCCTGCAGTAAAATGAAAACGAGGAATATAATTACATGATTCGTTTTTCCTTCTGAAATCAACATATTGTGCGTTAGCACCAGCATTTTTGAACGGACACACAACTAAACAGAAATAATGAGTCAGGTAAAATGGTGAAAAAAAACATTGTGATTCTCAGCATTTGCTAATAGATGGTACTAATTTTTTTATTTTGCTTTAGTTTTTTTTTGGCTTAATATCTGAAGAGGCTGATTGTTTCATTCCAAAATTTATTTTATTTTTCTGTAAATGGAACCAGCACTTCATTATCAATTGAGCGATGTTTAGTGTTATGTAAAAGTTTTACAGTAAAACCCACTTGGCCATTGAAAGTGTGTCAAAATTTCAGTAAAAATTTACATTTTGAAATTCAATTCGTCAGATACGTGCGAAAATGAATAATATCAATGGGATTTCAATACTTCCATGTTGAATATCAAATTCTCCATTTATTTAAAATACACCAGAATGTTTAGGATATTTTTTTGCTCAGCATGCGTATAAAATTTGGAATTGTAATAGTCCTTTTTGACGGAAATTGACAAATCAAAAATTTCGGTCTAAAAATTCACAAAAAAATCTCGTACACCATACATTCGGAATATCTGTCAATGGTTCATTTATCCAGCCAGTCATTCAATACCGTAGGTGGAGTATTAATTGAAAAGCGAGCCATATCCTTTAACAGAATGGAATTGTAATCAACAAGCCCACAATCGGCTGTAACAATCATCTAAACAAGATAAAAATGTGTGCATAAATAATTGGCGAATTTATGTCGGTTTTGGCTTCATGTGTGCGTTTCAAGTAAGATCCGTGCTACTGCGCCGAGTCGCCGTTCATAGCAGCAAAAAGCAAAAACATGTCGAAAGAATGAACAAAAAAATTATTATGAATTAATACAGACAGAGAGAAAAAAAAATGAGAGAAAAAAGAAGCAAACATAACGCGCGTTCATATTTTTTTTTTGCACACAGTCAGGCGAGAATGTTTCATTTGTGACATATTGACTTCGTTTAATATTCGACTCGTACTACACAGCACAATGTCTCATGAAACGTAATCTGCCGAATGTAAATGGCGCAATGTATTTTCTCATTCACATTTAATGTGCACTTTATACCATTCTCTATGTATTTTATATATATGAATTTGGTGTAATTCTTTTTTTTCTCTCTTCCACCGTTCAATGAAAGCTGAGCCAGACACACTGTGAGCGAAAATATACATACAAATCGTGTAGATATTTGTTTACGGATTGGGCTTGCATACACACATGCACACACACCCAAACACACGCAATGACCGACCGAATCAGTCATTAGGATCGAATAAAACATTTTTCGTTCCATGTTGCGCGCTACATTTTTCCTTCGCCATATCATATCACATGCCAACCAATTCCAAAATCGAATTTTTATTTATGCATACGATTTGTCTGGATGCATCATAGATAAATTAGCACGTATTTATAAGGGTTTTTAATGAAAAAACAATCACTGAGAAAAAAATTGGACAAACAACATAATCCATCTGGTTTGCTACTGAACGGTGGGGATACATTGTAATAGGTCATTCATTTATCTCTAAACATAAATGTATAATCAAAAGTTATCGCTGAATTTTGACGTGTTCAGTAGTTGAATGTGATTGGGTGATAATTCAAATAGGCCCCGTTTCAAAATTTTCTCCCTATTTCCAAATCGCTTTCGCGATTCGTTTCACTAATCAATCATTCAGTTTCATGAATACGCATATTTAATTCATAAAAAAACATTTTTTTAATGAACAAATTCAATTGTTTCTTTCTTTTATTGATTAATCGATAGATTGTTAATGTCTTGCAGGACATGGAAACGGAATCCATATTGGAAATGCCTTCGGATATCGATGAGATAGAAAAAGCGAAAGCCATCGAATCGATTGTACTGGAAACGAGTGCGGACGATTTGAGCTGTAGGGATGATTATGAGGAAATGGATATTTTAGTTGGCGCTGATGGCAGGGCAAATGTCACAAATAGTCTATATGATGCGGATGAATCTCTGAAAAGTACTGATATTGGAAATGGCAGCGAATCGACTGATGTCAAGGAAAAAGACTTGGATGGTGAAAATTCGACGAGTGAATCGTTCATAGTCAGTAAATCACAAGAGAATCCAATCATCAGAGGCAATTCAGTGGTAACTAAATGTACTATCCATCCAACATCATCATCATCATCACCGCCACCAACCCAGTCGAATGTCAACCAAATCGTGTACGTTAAACTATTACAGCCAAGAAGTAGTGTCATATCCAGTGTCCAACCGCTAATAGTTTCAACAACATCTCAATCACCACCAAAAACCTACTCCAATTCATCGCATAGAAGTAAACTTGAAAAATCCGCAGAAAGACCGGAGTTGAAGAAATTATCACCAATAAAAATGCCTGCGGAAGAGCCAACCACATCAAATATCAGTGGTAGTGTAACACCGCCCAAACCTCAAATTGGTCACACCGTAAATTTACTGAACAATAATCGTATCCTGATAAAGAGTGTGAAAAATAATCATGCCACTTCGCCCGTATCGATGCCTGCAACTGTAGTAAAAACAAATGCGGCGAACGAAGGATTTGAATTTTCGCCACAACCAGTACAACAGCAAGGCGATGCAAAGCAAACGATGGTTAATGAGACGAGCGAAATCGCAATGCAAAATGTGACAAATGTCACAGCAGCGACAACAACAACAACAAACGAACATGAAATCGACCAATTGAATGTAAATGAAACAAAATGTACGATCGAAACGTCGAATAACGGAAACTTTGACAGAGACGACAGTGAATTGGAAATAAAGAAAGAGCAAATATTGAACGAAAATAGCAGCACCAACGAAGACATTGTCGACGATACAAAACTGAGTGATACGTATCAGATAAAAATTAAGCGTGAATTTGAACAATTGCAAAAAACGGTAAATGAATCGAAAGTTCTGTCGGAATTTGTGATTGATCACAATAAACGGAATCGACGTCCAACGAAATCTGGCAAATCAAAGCATAACAAGTACAATAAGAGTAGTTTGAGCGATATGACCACTTTGGTCGATGAAAAAGTGCCGGTGGCACAATTCAATCCAAGTGCCAGCCCATCGTCGACCAGTGTTCGCAGTGCGTCTAAAGAAAGTGACCGATCGATTACGAGCAGTTTCAGTGCTGGCAAACGAAACACCCGATCGATGAATACGGACTTTTCGGCGAAGCAAAAACAATTTTTGAAAGGTATCCAACAAGTGACACGTGGTACCGACGATGAAACGGACAACAACAGTGGCGCTGACGATGACGACGATGATGTCGACTATTTTGCTGAACAGCAACCAAACATCAGCGAACGAAGAAAGAGTACAATGGCGAACAAGCAGTCGTTTGGCTTTGAATCGAAAGCAAGCGATATCAGAGTAAGTGGAATATTGATGAAATGGTACTTTCTGGAGTGTTTGATTGACATTTGATTTATTTCCACTTTTGTTTCCATAGATTGGATGGGACAAATACTGTTGGCGATGCCATCAAACGGACACAAAAATGCTTTGCTCCAGTTGCGTTCGATCTTATCATGCAAATTGTCTGAAAATGAAACTCCTATCGCCAGCCGAGATGGCAAAATGGCAATGCCCCGAATGTGTGGAAATCAAAGCGGCAGAAAAAGAGAACAAGAAAAAGTGAGAAAGATGATCTTCTTACAATCCATACAGCTGCTGTATGAGTAATTTGTTTCTTTATCTTTGCAGAAAATTCGATGTGAAACATTTTAACAAGCTGCTGAAGTACGCCATGAACCGACTTTTACAGGATCCAAATGTGAGTTGTTTGCAAAATTCATTATGTTCCCGAACAGATGTTGACACATGTATTCAAAATGGCGTCGGTCATTGAAATTGTTTTTTATTGTTTGAAATTTTCTACCTGATGTACACTTTTTGTAATGACATTTCCATATGGTTGCAGCTCCAACAGTTCCAGTTCCCGGTGAACAAGACGCAGAATCCCGGTTACGGTGATGTCATTGTGAACCCAATCAATTTGAGCAAAATTGAAAACAACATTGACAACCTGGTGTACACCAATTCCGAGGCATTTTTATCGGATATCAAATGGATCCTGCATAATTGTAGCATCTATTTTTCGGGTAAACATTTGAAACTCGTTTATTTATATCCACATACACGATTGAGAATCAATTTGTGTGTATACACAGTAAAAAATAAAAGTCCACATCTAGCCGTTTTTTCAGCTAAAAACGCATTCAGCCGATATTGCTGCTAGTAATTTGAGCTGCAGGCGAAATTCCGCTTATAATCTAGTCGGTTTTTCGTCTGAAACTCAATTTACTAGGCAAAATATAAGACTGGGCGCCTCTACCAGTCGAAAATCCGCCTAAGTGTGGACTTTTATTTTTCACTGTGTAGTGATAAATTGAATTTAGCGATATTCTTATCAAACTGTACTATATATTGCACCATGTAATTCCGAACAGATAACTACAAAGTGACACGAGCGGCAAAATCATTGCAAAAAGTGAGCAAACAAGAGGTGGGCGATATTGAAACGTGCCCTGAATGCTACTTAAATGCCAACACAATGACTGACAATTGGTTCACCGAAACGTGTGTGAAGCCGCATCTAATTCTATGGGCAAAGCTTAAGGGATTTCCCTATTGGCCGGCCAAAGCTATGTCCATCAATTCGACATTGGTCGATGTGCGTTTCTTTGGTGAACATGATCGAGCCAATATCCCAGCGAAAGATTGCTATTTGTATTCGCGTGAAGATCCAAATCCACCGACAAATAAATACAAACGAAACACTATTGCCGATTGTGTTAAGGTAAGCCATTTTTCATATTGAATGTGAAAGAGTGAGAGATTGAGAAAAAGTTATTGAAAGAGATTTTTCAGTGGTAATTTCAAAAACACGTGATATGTCCCAGCATCTGGTGCAATTTCTTACATAAACAATAGCTTTACGATATCAGTGTTAAAAAATACAGTCACATTTCATTCTTTCCGTTTCTAATTGAACTGTTTGTATCTCCTCTCTTCATTTTATGTGTCAAAAGGAGGTGGATGTCTACATACAAAACATTGAAGCAAAATACGGTTCGTTCAAGTACTCCGAGTTGAAAACGCCATTCAATCCGCAGTTGGCCGATCAACATTTGCTGGACATGATACCAGGGTTGCGTAGTGCACGTGGTGGTCGCCGCCGAAGCAGCTCCGCCCGACCGGATTTAACCTTAAAAATTGTTAAAACCGCTGACAATCATTTGTCGGTGGTGAAGAAGGACCAAACTGCCAAGGAATTGCCTCAAATTAAACGAACCGTTGACATAACCGGCGATGGAGCTGTGTCACGCACACCAACGCCACCATTAGCCGTTCTGTCACGCCGCAAAACAAGCGACACCCGGATTAAACGTAGCAAATCAACGAATCGACACAGCGACGGTAAGCCGCCGGTTCTTGATCATAAATCATACCAGGTATTGCGACGCAAGAGTATGGCTGTTGAAAAACTCGACCAGAAACGAGTGAATGCCATTCATTCCAATTTGGATTTGAATTCGTCCACCGAATCGCCAGAGGTGAGCTTTGTGCGATACAATCCAGATTCAACGAATGAGAAAAATGAGACTGATCAACTGATTGCCAACGCGGTCGCTGTGGTAAAGAAATCGATCAAATCCGCAGCCAAAAAGAGGAAGCTATCGGTAGATGAAAAGGCAAGCGATGCGGGTGAAACGCCCGAGAAAAATTTAAAACTTGAAGAACCAAAGGCTACAACATCTACCCACGACGAACGATCTGAAGACATTTTTGAAACGAATATTTTGAGTAGTGTTGGCTTGATGAAACGAACAACGCCACCAAATCCGACAACGATCAAATCACCCGAAAAACCGACCGTGAGCGGAAAGAACGGCAGCGCAAATGCGAAGCCAGTTCAAAATAAAAACTCCACATGTGATACAGATGAAAAAATGAACGAAGGAGCCGCACGGACGAGAAGTGACACAGTTCAACGTGTCGGCAGCAAAGATGATGGATCGCCATTGGTGTTGGTGCCATTTGTTGAAGTGAAAAAAGAGCCGGAAATGGAGAATGATGTCTCAAATCCAGGTGAACAGACACCATCGGCATCTCTAACACCAATCTGCTTGATTAGTTCAAATGAAAATACGCCGGCTAAAAACTATGCAAACACCGATGATAATCTGTCAAACATCAAAACGGAGACGAGTTCCGATGATGACAGTTTGATGATTATCGAAGAGGATCTGCCAAACAGTACAAATACACCAGTCAAAAAATCAACCATGGGCATTGATCAATTGCTCGAAAATATTCGGCTTCGTGGTTCGATTTCGGTGAAAGATATCAACAAAATGACGTTGCAAAATCAACAGCAACAAGCGCGCAAAACGTTCCCAAAAGGACCAACGACAAATGCATCGGCATCCATTTTGAAACCGCGCAACAATCTTGCTTTGAATAAATCAGCGCCGACCAATATGGTTTGCATACCATTAGATGGTATACCACGGCTCGAATTGAGCTACAATTCAACGCAACCGCCGCCATTGTCAGTGGTCGGAAGTGTAAACAGTGTTTCGCTTCTCACACAAAACCAGTCATCCACAATTACCAACAATGCACCCTCGAGCACATCCACGTCCAATTTGACAAACGGTCCACCACCACTGTCGATACCAGCCGTCAGCCAGCCATCTCTATTGAATCCAAATTCGATTAACACCATTTCCAATGGAATGATAACCGAACAAATGGCATCTGCCGTAACCGATCAAATAATCCGCCGGAATCCACCCAAATTATCGTCTCGGCCAGCGGCACCGTTGCGCGCCGAATGTGACTCGGTGTTCCCCACTGAAGCCGGTTCGGTGTGCAAAACCCTAATGGAAAATGCACATAAAATGACCGATTTCTTCCGATCAGTTATCGAAGACACACTTGGCGATTTGGCCAACATGTCAAATCCTGAAGCGAAAATTCGTTTGCTAGAACTTGAAATGGAGAAACAGAAGAATGCCCACGCAAAGGAAATTACCGACGTCAAAGCAAATACTGATCGCTTGCTCAATGAAATGAAGAAGAGCATGGAAAAAGAGCGTACACGTGTAATCAATGACACACGCAAACAGTGTGAAATGGAGCGCATCCGATCGGTGGAAGAGGCAAAAAAGAAACAATGGTGCGCCAATTGTTTGAAAGAAGCTCAATTTTACTGTTGCTGGAATACATCGTACTGTAACCACATTTGCCAGCGGAAGCATTGGTATGTAACAATAGTCAGAACAGGTTTTTTTTTCCATTGAAATATGCAATTTCCAATTTGGAACATTTGAAATGACGTTTTTATTTGTTCAATTTTACAGGGAACAGCACATGGCAACTTGTGCTCAAGTCGAAACAACCCAGAACGTGCAGAATGTAAGGCGCTAATCATTTTTCTTCTTCAGTAGTCTCGTAATTCTTTATTTTTGAAACGATATCAAACATTATCACGATGAACTAATCGGGTGATTTTTTTAGTCACGCAAGCCGGCTGGTAAAAACGCATCAAAGCCAGATATCAGAGTACAGTTACAAGCATCTCAGCATCCAAAGTTACATGTATCCATTCAAAAAGACAATTTGAATACAGTCAACAATCGTGCAGTTACTGCTGCAAGCGTTGCAAATAACTCCGGAGTGCCTGCATTGCGGAACATTCTACCGAAAAATGTTATCGTAAGTTCATTTTTGTCTGAGGACCATTTTCCTCCGTTACTACACCGACAATCTATCAAAAAGAGAAGTGAAACTTGTTTTTCGTTTAGAGAATTTGCTCTTAACTAATGGTAATGATAACTTTTTGCTTTTTAGACATCCATAAGTCCATCTCGTCACTTTAACCAAGGCACGCAATCGCTGACGAAACAATCTCCAAATCAATCGTGCATCATTGTCGGTCGATCGCTTCCAAATTGGGCTGGTGCCTCATCCAAATCAGCGTCGCTATTGCATTCGAACACGATATTTTTGCCAGCCACATCGCAGCCATACGCCACGATTACAAACGTACAATCGGGATCATCGGCCGGTGTTTCGCTGCTAAACACCTCACATGCACAGGGACAAAAGTCAAACCAGACCGAAACCATCATCATACCATAAAAAGTGTACACAACATGTCCAAGCAATTGGAATAATATGAATTCACATAACAGCTTCAACCTCTTAGAAATAATTTGATCATGATCAAAAACTTGAGACCGTAGTTTTTTTTATTATACCCATAAATTTAGTATTAATTTTTTTTAAGTTCAGAAGTTTGGTGTTGAAGCCATGTTTTTTTTCCTCTGTTCAATTAACTCAATTGTTGTTTGAGAGATTTTCGCCAGATCTATGTGAATTTAATTTTTGATAAATTTAAAAATTTTATGTTGTAATCAAAATCGAGTCGGAATTGTGTTTCAGACTTGAAATGTATATTTGAAATTAATTGTAAGGGAAAAAACACAAACACAATTTTTTTTTTAACAAAAGAAAGAAAGTAGCCGATTTGACATTAGGACGGGGAATAAAATGAATTACACGAAAAGAAGAAAAAATTTAGATGAACTCTGTATAGCAGTAGTTTTCTCATGGAAAATTTTTCAGCGTGGTATGAAAATGAAACACTCGTATATATATTATACACACACATAAAAAAGATATTTTAAACATCATGCTTCGAGATGATTATAAAATTAAATACTATAAATTTATGACATTGATTGTTTTTATTTTCAAAGACAAAAAAAAACAGACTAAAATGAAATGGGAAATATTTGACCGTAGCTAAAATTTCCAAACACTTTGTTGGACATCTCTTTTAATTGATGCTGAAGCACCTTCTCTACGACTGGAAACAATTCTTTGTTCATCTTATTAAAGTTGTGATTGATCACATTGTCGATTTCATAACGATCTGAGGAAGAAAATTCAATTTTATTAAGCTTTTTTTCAGAATCATTCGTTTACTTTTCAAGTTACCCAGTATTCGTCTTCCTTTGGACAGGTCATACAATTTAACAACACCTTTGCTAGCTTTGATTTTAACGTCAATCTTATCCGTTTGCACCAGCCATCCGTTGGCGACATGCGAAAAATGTGCCTTCACTTTTGCAGAACTATTATCTAGTCGATGAATATTGCAGTTTTTAAATTATTTGTTTTTTTTTCAAGATCTTAAATTTTATTCAAAATCAAATTGTCATTAATTTCAATAATTTAGTGAGTTAAACTTACGGAATGTTTCAACAAATGAACAAGCTTCATCAACTAAAAACTCTTTCACTTGTCCACTGACGTCGCATGCACCCTCGACCTGAAGCCTTGGAAAAACTACATCGACATCGTACTGTTTTCCATGCTTCACAACGCTAAAATTAAGAAAAAAGTCTATTCGTTTTCCTTTTTTCCTGTAGAAAAATATTGAACTCACTCCAATTTGTCGATATTAAACTTTAAAATGCCGAGAACAAGAACATTTTCTGCTTTAATATGCAATCCATGGTGACTTCGGTCGAATTTAAATAAATTATCTATTTCGAGCGGATCAAGACTTGGAATATCAACATTTGGTATGCCTTCAATCAACACTGAACGCAGTTTGTCGATACTGGTTTTTAGACACTCCGTTAAGTTTTGGTCCAATTTCTCACAAATGTGTAAGTAGTTGGCTGAAATTAAATATTTAAATTTTAGCAAGTATTTGTTCGTTTTTTTTGGTGAAAAACAACTTGTTTATTTTAATTTTCGAAATGATTGAATATTACATGTTTTCACATTTTCCAAGGTGAATTTCGAAAAGTAAAAGGAAAAAAACTGACTGATTTCACTGAAAATTTTTGAAAAATTACTATATATTCAATACGTGCTATTGCTTACGTATGGGTGGTTCAGTCCAGTGTGCGATAACCATAGCAAAGGTAAAAGTCAAGGCCAAGTGATTGGCTAACAACATTCTGATTGAGACTCAACTATTTTTAGAATTGAATATTCGATTGAGAGAACAACAAGTTTGAAAACAAATGTATTTTTATATTAGTTATGAATAAATGGATAAAAAATGTCTCAATTTAATGAAGTGAGCGCAGAGTGTCAAAAGCGAACAGTTTTTTTGAGAAAACCATGAATAACTGTTGATTTGTTGCGAAATCGATTTCACTAAAGCTCGAACGTTGTTCAATGCATCAAGGAGAGCAACAATAATCGCCCAATTATTAATATATGACTATAATAGCCGACAATTAATCAATTTAATTGCATTCGACACTTACGCACTTTGTCCCATGTCCAGGTGGTCCGTCTGTTGGCAATTAGAATGAAAAAAAAACAAACAACTGCATTGTTTCAAAGGGAAATGTTTGTTTATTCAATGAAACTCATTCTTTGATATTATTCCTTAGGTTTTATCAAGAATGTAAAAGAAATGTAATAAATTCTTCAAACAATAAATACACATCATTCATGTTTTGATGATAACAATAACAAAAGCACTTAAATTGAATTGTGACTTAAAATAATGATTGAATAAAAAAAAAATGAGGAGCAAAAGCATAGCTTTAAATAAATTAAACTAAAAAGTTTTCCAATGGAATGCGCTCAAATAGTCGATCAATGAATAGATGCAAAATCGTCGTGAATTTGTTGCGAAGAGCTGGTTTCATTTCCTTCAACAGCTCTTGGGCATTGCTGTTGATGAACAGATTCAATGCGGCCTCTGAAAATGTAAATAACAAACGTAGGTCAGATTTCATTTTCCTCGCCATTATAGGAGCATTCAACTTACGGATCACAACATTGCCACCAGCAACATTATCAACGCCCATTTGAATGTTCTTGACACTGAAATCCATTTTGGCCTCTTCAACACGCAAATAAGTCAATCCATCGAGTTGGTCAACTGGTGTGGCTTTGAAGTAAACCTTGGCACGTACGCCATCTATTAGCCAACATGCGAAATAGAAGCAGAGGAAAACATTTCAACTTAATTTTTTTTTTCACATCAAAATTAAATGTTAAAAGGTTTTTAGTTTCGAAATGATTTGGTTGGTGATGCAAATGTGATTTATTTTACCATATTCTCCCCAGTAGTCTCCGGCACCGGAAGCTTTCACTAAAATTAGCACGCCCGACGAACGATATTGGGCCTTTACGCGAATGTGTGGGATTTCAAAAGTCATTTGAAATTGTAGCGTATCGATGTCGGATCTAAAAAAAAATTTTTCAACATTTAAATTTCCAGCAAGCAAAATGTAGGTCTTTAAGTAAGTAAACAAGGTGATGTTCTCGTGAATACGGAAATGAACTTGGTTTGCTAATCAAAAATGATGGCAAACAACGAGGAAGTTGCAATTAGCATTACTCGGTCATGTGCAGATGTGGAAGTTTGCGAAAACAACACTCGAAATTCACATCACGTACCGCGAGTTGAGTGTGAAAATTAAGTGATAGCCATTCAACTCGAATGATGGCAGTGTGTCGACACGTGCAACGAATGACCAAAAAAGCATGTATGAAGTGTTTGTTATCCAAACAAATCGGTTCAAAAACACATGAACAGCGTTTTAAGAGTTCTTAACACAAAGCAATGAACTTTACATCTGCGACAATTTTTTTCTCTTCCTTCTACTTCAAAGAATAAAAGTCATTAGTAGCGGATTACCGCTATGTAGCCAAGAACTGGTTCAAAAGCACTGGCATTTGTTTGATCAGATCCGCTGATTAAATGCGATCGTGCGCTTGTCGTCGTCGTTGTCAATGTTTGAGTGATCAGTTCATGCTGTGCATTACGGAATGGTTTAACCAAAAAACGCCGCTTTTTTAGTGGGTCTGATGCTTTGAAGGCACAGTTAGCTGTCTTTTTCGAATGAAACGAATCAATTTAAAGATTCAATTTGTGAATTTTAATTCAGCACATCGATGCGCTTGGATACATTTTGATTAAATCAACGACAATTGACCAAGTGAATGAACTGCACCACTGACCCATATATTTCTTTTGTACCGCTTGAAATACCGTGGCATTTTAGCCACCATGTTAAAGACGAAGGAAAAAAAATTCAACGAATATTTTCGGAAAAAATCTAGTTTTATCGAAACGCATTTTAAATAGCGACTGACAACATTTACATAACAGGTTAATCGGTTACGATTAATGCGCGTTCAGTCAACGCTTAGAGAAAGCATTTGAAAGCGATCCAGTTGATTTGTTCTGAAAATCTATTCGATATATTCTGAATGATGAATTCAAAGCAATCGAGAGAGTTGTTAGAACCCTATGCTCATTGAATCAATTCTTTGGCTTACCTGATGTTGGTCAATGTAAGATTGCTGACGCCGTAGGCCTCAATGTTTCGGAATGTAGCACGATAACCATCGGGTCCGCCGCCCAATTGAATATTGATTTCGTCCACGATAACGGGTTCAATCTGAGAGAATTATTCAATTGATTAATGGTTGGGTAGAGAATCTATCGATGAATAGAGTTAAGAATAGTTTTTTCAAATATATATTTCAAAAAACTGTACACAGCTAAAAAAAAATTGAGTATGTGAGTCTCGATTCCAGTTGTGCTTACATCAAATATTGATGCTGGTAAGGGGCAATTAGCGTATTTTCACTTTCTCTGCTCAATCAATTTGCATTCGTGTGCCAATTAATCGGCTCGCGTTTGCAAACGGTGTAAACTGAAGCGCAGTGTCACGCACGAGCCATCATCATCATTCATGGTTTTTTTTTCATCGAATGGAAATTAGCATTTGGCAAAACAGCTGCTGCGCCACAATAGAGTGGAGATAGTAACAGCGAGCAGCAACAAAAACAAAACTAAATAAGCATTTCAAGACTAAACGAATCAATGGAGGGAAAAAAAGACGAAAAAGTGAATGACGAATTCAGCATCAAACGATGCGCACAAAGCAAATGAGCACGCGAGTCATCTGCGAATCGGGTGCTTAGATACAAAATCTTGACATAAATTACAACATTATACCATAGCCAAAGCGAAAGAATATGCTCAGAAGGCGTCGATGCCATCGTCGTCGTCATCATGAAGCCGATTCGATGCCAAGAAGAAAAGAAGCATATTTACGATGTGATAAACAAAGTAATATTGCGTAAAGGTCGCATGCAAACGAACGATGCTTCTGTTTGCTACACACGATCAGATGTTATTGATAATGATATTGAATTTTGTTGATTTATGTCTTTTCGTGCGTGTTTTTTCTTTGTTTCTCAGTATGACCGATTTATGAACATCCGAACCGCGGTCGCGTTCACCATTTAAAAAAAACCCAAACAAAATATTGCGAAATGCAATCACAGTGTTTTTGTTAGTCGTCTCATTCTTCTTTTATGTGTATTCAAATCTCCGATTTTTATAGCCTGAAGTGAAGCATTCGGCCAACCAATCTCCATCGCTTTGAATTCTAATTTTATGCAAAACACACTTTTTTATTGGAATCGATTTCCATGGTTCGTCGAGACGCGCATGCAAGAAAAATTCTTTCATACATCACACACGAAAAAAAAACCAATGAAATTTAAATAGGTTTGTGTGTCGATGCCAAACAACGACATTTCAACAAACATCTCGCCGAATATCGTCGCTTTTTGGATTTATGGACTAGTTCACGTTGAACTGGACTGAACTGACAAATGGTTTTTAACTGAATTTCAGATTCTTAAATCTACGTAACCCATGGCATAAATGAAAGAACGGACATATTCGACTCACCTCATGCATATCCAACTCAGGCACACCAGCTTGCAATAGTCGAGCCAATCGATTGGCGCTGTGCATTAGGCAGGTGTTCACTTCTGGATCATCTCGTGAACATTGTTGGATGTAATAGGCTGTACGAAGATGGAATTATGTTAATTTACATCGGGGATTTCCCATGCATAACCAAAATTAAAGCTTACGTTGAAGAGCGAGCACAACCATGGACAAAGCAGCCACTGCAGCTCCCGCGATGTACAAGTTTTTCGATTGCATTTTTGAATGTTTTTTCTGTAAAAGCGATAAAATGACGAAAATGGTTTTCGATGAATAATATTCGGCTGCAGCCATTCCATGTAGAATTCTGCATCAAAATCACACATTAAAATATATTTTGATTATTGATTAAATGGGTTATCTGATGAAAGTTAGACCGTATTCGATGTCTTTTTTATGATCGGTCATTTGGTGCAACAACCGTCTCTAAGAGCATCGTGGTATTTCAAAACTATTACAAGGCAAAAGTTTTGCTGCAAAACATGTTTATTATCGATCTATTGATGCGGTCATTATGTGCTTTACTCATGTGTACGGCATACGGTGTGGTGTGTGCGCATTTTACGGACGGACATTGCCCCGCATGCTCGCCGCAAATTTCATACAACCATTTCAATTTCAGTGATTAATATTTCAGAGCACTTGCGCTTTTGCTTTTACGGAAAGCCCAAAACGCTAATTAACATTTGAAACAGCGCGTATTATATTGTTGCTGCACGGAATGGTTGGACGTTTTTTCTTTTGTTTTCAATTTGTCACCTGAAGCCACTTAAAATGTGTGATTTATTGTTTAACTTTCAGATAAATAAATCAATGGGTTTGCCAAACTGTCTTTTCAAATTTCACCATCGAAGTGAAAACTTTCCCTCTGCCCAATCACATTCGCGAATCAATAAAGAGGACGTGGGGACATAAACACCAATTAATCGTTTCCATTGACGTCAACAAAATTCGGTTTGTACGATTTTGAAGTTGAGTTTAGTGAACTGTACTAGGATTTTTTTAATTATTTATGCATTTGTCTTTGGCCCAAAATCGACTTTAATTTTTGGAATTAAATTTTATATTTAATTTTTTGGATTCGTGGAATCAATTTTTTAAAAATATTCTTCATTTATAACCGATGAACTTTGAGACGATTGATGTAAATCCAATTCAAAATCGTTGCTACTGGATCTTGCTTTACTTCTTCAATTTTTCAAACTTGATGGCAAAAATATTCAAAAATTGTCTCATTTTGGATTTCTGCAATATTTTTCTATTTGATTTTCGAATACTTTTTCACATTCCGAATTATTACTCACCAAAAGAAAGTCACAAACTAAAGTTCGAAACAAACAAACTGAAAAAAAAAACACAACAAATAATTTCGTTTAGCTGGAATTCTTTCACTTTGACGCGTTAAAATGCTCTGTCCGTCACTTTTTCCACACAACTGCGTGATAATGTTCACACAAACAGTCACGTAAACATACGAAATAACGGAATCACACAAAAGAAATTCAATTAACGACGACGACGGCGATGATCATCCGACGATGAAAAGAGTGTGTGAGTAGTGATCGACAAGAAGAGATGTTTTTTTTACGTTCCAACCGGAGTGTATATGTGTGGTATGCCGCGACCGAAATGATGTTTTTCACGCGAATACTTTCTTTGACGAGGTCTAGGTCACGATTAACCGAAGCTTCGTTTCGTGCAGCCCATTTTATACGAAGATCGTCGGAAATGTGAAAGAGAGAAAGACTGTGATACAAAATGAGCGAAATGTTCGGTACAACGGTTTTCCATCGTTGATACAGTAACATACAGCTGTCACCAGCGTTTGTCTCGGTTGAACCGTTGGGAATCGGAGCTAAAATAGTCGAGTGCTGAGGCATTACATTTTTCATTCGGATTCAAGATGTCGTGATTTGGCCACAATTTCGAAGACCATACCATGGGCAATTTTAAGGTTTCATCCGAAAATATGATAATTATTTGATTATCATGCCTTGAAATCTTTCAGAGTCTGAAAGTTGAAATTCAAACAGAACATTTCGCCATCGACGTCATGTAGCTTTGATGCGGTTAGAATTCTTCGCGAACGAAGAGCTTTTTCGAATGTCGCCTGAATGTTCTTTATCAAGAATTTTGAGAGGAAAAATCGTGTTGCTTTGAGCAAAACTTCAATTGCGCCGATTATAGCCACAATTTTTGTCGATTTTTCTTTCGGCATTCCCAATTTCGGCCATGGAAAGAACTCAATTTTAAAATTGATTTTAAATCCTCCAAACGATTTTTTAAACATTCCCATAGAAACATACACATAAAACAAAATATTAACAAAATTTAAACAAAATCATGTGTATTTTGGGTCAAAAAATCACATTTTTTTTAACAAATTTTGTTCGTTTTTCAAAGCATTTACCAGAATATAAAGTAGTTTGATTAAGATTCACAATCGCATATAGACACTTAAAGTTTACCAATAAAATAGCCAAATTTAGTTTTGTGTAGAATTTATTTGCTTAACATTTAAATTATCATTCGAAATTGGTTCTTCAATTTGAAAGCAAAACTAAAATACAAAGAAAACGAAGAGATTTTCTGTTTGCTAGAAAAATGTAGAAAAAAAAATTAGATGGTTGATGGTGATGGATAAATATACGCTAAATGAATTCTTTGAATCGAATAGATGCCGCCTAAAACGCAGTTTGTGGTCGAACTTAAATTAAAAATGGATTTAGCACTAATCATATTTAGTGGATTGCATAAGATATTTTTTCTGGATTTTGTCACATGGATACTGTTTAGAGATGCCAATTGCCATTTGTCATGGCATTTTAGAGTGACTGTGCTATTCACATCACTCTCTAAGTCTAGTAAACAACATGAAAATATCATACAATATTTGCTCTTATTTTTTGGATCACGAAGAATTGGCTTAATCTACCAAGAAGGCTTCACGTGGAACGTGTTTTAACAGTTGATTAGCAATGCCCGAGAATTCAACCGATAGTTTCTTCTGCAATTGCGGTTGCATAGCTTTCAGTACTTCAATACCGTTTTCACGCAAAAACAAATTGGTGGCTTCGGCTGCAAATGAAAATGTTGAACATTATCAGTGAGAAAAGTTTCCGAAATGAAGTCAAAAGGACGAAGAAAATGGAATTTGTTCCATTTTGACACTTACTTAAAATGCGATTATTTTTGAACACTTTGGCAATGTGCATACGCACTTTTTTTACATTCAATTCCATGGCTAAGCTGTCAACGTGCAAGTAGGTTTTCGCATTCTTTTCTGCGGTGGAAACTTGTCCTTTCACATCAGCAATAACGCCATCGAGAACGGCATCAAAGTCACCTGAACCACTGGCTGGGATGATCAATAAAACGCCTGAACTGGTGTATTTGGCACGAATGGTCAACCGTGGAATGGCAATACGCGCTTCAAATGGCCGATTATTTTCGCTCAATCTAATCCGAATTTAATCAAAAATGCAAGAGATTAGCAGAAAAATACACGAGCGATTTTGATTATTCATCGCATTGACATTTGAAACACTCACTTGATGCTTTTAACGGTGAAGTTGCTGGCACCGAAAATTTCCATATTTTTCAAATTGACGCGATAGCCTTGTGGACCGCCAGTGAGTTGCAGCGAAAGCGAGTCCATGATAAATGGTTCGACTGTTGGCATCTATAGTCGATTTGAGTAGAGAGAGAGAAAGAAATAAAATGATAAGATTAATGATTGATTCAATGAATTGCATATTTTCATTGTGATTATGATGCGATGATTCAGAGAGACCAGGAACTTGAGCACCGAATGAAATATTGAAATTTCTTCCAAACTCAACGAATTTTAATGCGTGGAAATGTTCGTAATTATTGCGAGAGAATAAAAAATGTTCGTAATTATTGCGAGAGAATAAAAAACAATTCACTGAACAAAAATCGACAAAACAACAATCCGCTGAACGATGATTGTATTCCAATCACGTCAGCAATCGTTCCCAATATCCATGATTAGAAGCGTACATTACGTACACGTAGGTGATTGAATCATTGCGTGGCGATAATGAATCCACGCTTTGATCAACATTACAATTTAACTTCTAATGCTAATCCAAAATCTGTTAATAAATTGATGCATTTTTCGTGAGAACTTTTTTTTTGCACTATGAACATTCCATTGATAAACGTCACACATTTTTTTTGTACTTGGTTTTATAAATAGATCCAATGCACTGAATTGGAAAAGAGCTTTTTAATTGAAATTTCATTTGAAAACTAATTTTCCACAGAAAATACATTTTTTTTGCTGTTTTTAAATATTTCGAGATGAATTATAGATTTCGAGTTATTAATAGACGCATCGAATTGATTGTTACGTTTTTGTCGAAACCGTCGAAACCATCATATTAGCAAATGTTATGGAACGAAGTTTTGGGTGATAATGAGATTTCTTTTTTGTTGAATAAAAATGCTTTCCGTTCGATTTTTCGATTGAGACTTGAAGAAAAATGCATGATATTCAATTTTTTCTCTCTCTCGATGTTTCCGCCAATTTGGATATAATTAGTTTAAATTTTTTTATGGATACAATTAGCATTGTTATGCTAAATACGTTGTTTCATCCGTGATTCGCTTCCTAATCGCGTCTCGTGATTTCTTTATGAAGTTATATGATCAAAGCAAAACGTGCAAAAAGAGGTGCATATCGGATGGTATGGTAGGTGCAAAAAAAAAAACATCAAGAAAAAGGAATGATGAAAATGTAACGATTGAAATGACATACCTCAATTTCTGGTATTCCTTGTGCTAAATATGGCCGTAAATGATGCAGTGAACCCTTTAGACACTCTAACAATTGTGGATCGGATCGACGACATTGGATTATATATTCAGCTGCAATGAAAATGTAAAGAAAAAAACATTCAGATCAGTGATTGCAGAAAAAACAAGCACAGTGCATAAAATGAAATAAAACTGAGAACTGGCGATTTGCAAGCGATTCGTTTGAACATTCAAAATCTTTCGACACATTTCTTTAATCGAAAGACGGAGCCATAAACACATAAATTAATAATAATCGAAATGAATGTCTGTCTAATCGAAATTTCTACATGATTCACGATTCGCAAGCAACAAGCGACACATACACAACAGTCGAGGCTCAAAGTGCAGTCGTTTGCATTGCAACAAAAGGCACTCATACGACACAACAACAAGAACAACAACAACAACAACAAATGACTGAATGAAACTATTTACAAAATGCAATCACAAAATTTTTCGTTTGGCAATATTCAGAAGAAAAAAAATAGACATATAGAAAACATTTCTTGCAAACGCAAAACACAACACTCTCGTCGTGTATTATATTGATTTCGAGATTCAAGAAAAAAAACCATCATCGATTCAGAAGATAGAGTCTCAAATTCAATGTAGCGACAATTTTTTTTTTCTTTTCTTAGCTTTGAACACTGAAATGCCCATGTGATTAAATCTCAGTCACACACAGTTTGGTTGCGGCGATTTGTATCCAAATCCAATAATTATCTAATCATGCTGATTCCCTCCATCTTTGATGAGTAGAGCACCGGTATGTGTGTACAGAAAATTTTTTGTTTAGTATGCACGCGCAAATTGTCACGCACATCTACGAATTGCATCAGTCTAAGTCTCAGTCTCACAATTCCAACCAAGAGATCTGTTGCTCTCGATTCTCGGGCACGAAGTACGAACGTCGCACAAAACACGCACACATACACACACAGGTGCAATTGAAAAATCGTCAATCGATGCATTAAAATGCACACGAGATAGTCGGCTGACACAATTTATGACATAATTCTCTTGCTTTCCGCCGAAAGAGTGATTGAAAGGAAAGTACGGTGCAGAATGAGACGGAGCAAATATTTGATTGAACTAAATGAGACTTGTTGTACATGTGCCTGGTGCGTTGAATCATACAACACATCTCGTTCATTTTAATTGGCTGTGAAATTGACCACAAACGTGTGCCCGATGAAAAGAGACGGGCTGCATCTCTTAGTAGCTCTTATCAAATTGAAACATTATCATCATTGTGGGCCCAAATTGACGGGGCACCTCGAAATAAATCCATTAATTATAGCGTTGCGTTGAGCGTCGAGGTTGAAAAAACATCTGGGCTATTGTTTGCGTTGATAATTTTGATTAGTTAATTTGAGCATGAACGCAAACAATTCTATTTGATTGAATCAAACTGATTTAATTGTGTTATTTTCTCATTGCAGTTCTAATGCTTCGCCAATTCAGAACGAGAATGATGACTTAATTAGGATCGATAAAGCCACGGTATTTATGGTTATTGACCCGTCAATGTGCAATTCAAAACGGAAAATTGCGTAAATGTCATTCAGCAAAAGAAAAAACCAAAAAAAAAGAATATTATGAAAATACAATCGAAAAACCATGAAATCGAAATGAATAGACCCGCCAAACCGGAACGATCGGCTAAAGAACTCGATACCAAGTTTACTTGTGCACACACAAAAAAACCACACGAGACATTCGATTTTAATTAGCAAATATGCGAGAATTAATTTCAGGTTGTAGTGAAATAAAAAATGTGCAAAACCAAATTGCAGCTACTGATTCGAACAGCAAGTGCAAGTGGAAGTGGCAATTGTGAACACGGTCTACTTCGATATTTTATATTCACATTGAACAAAAAAAAACATCGTTAAAGGGGAACATGAAAAGAGAAACAAGAATCAGATGAACGAAGAAGCAAATAAAAAAAGTTGCCATTCGCTCATGAAGATTTTTTGCTCTGTACTCATAGTTTTGGATTGATTCTATATGCTCGTTTTTGAATGGCTCAATTTCAAATTTAATGTCGATGATTTCTCAACGATTTTGGAATTTTATTCCAATTTGTTAACACATGTTTAACAACCTCTCTCTCTGTGTGTGTCTGTCTAGCTGGTTGATTTGATTTGAGTCTCCCCTTTCTGGGCCAGCGTAGCATGTGGTGCACTTTAGCCGGCCCGTAAATGATTATATAACAATATTCTAATGGGTGTTACATTTACATGCATCAGACAAATTGTTTTTTTTATTGCACCGGTGCAACATACAAACACAGAGCAAACAGTCATTCACTCAACTCGTTCGACAACACACAAAAAAACCAACCGATGAAAACGAAACGGTGTGTGGCAATTGTATTTTCGTGCATTAAACTTCGATACAATGAAATTCGATTACAGTGCGATCGGTGCGCAGTGGTTAAGGCAAACGTCGTGGTGTACACGCGTGCACGCACATTTATTATTATTGGCTTTTTTTCCTCTAACTGCATTCGATCTGTACAAATGTGTGCTCAAAGTGAGCACATAAATTAACCAATTTCCTGCGTACTGACCAAATGAGCGTAGATCCGGTGCAGGCACAAGTGCAAAAAAAAACTCGATCTGAAGCGCGAAATGCTTCGTTCTTCGGTTGCTTGAATTGCAGTGTCAAACCCCATCAGTTTTGGTGAATGGCTGGCAATAATTTGCACCAAATCAACTTTTTAAACGTTTTTTAACGACGAAAAAAAATTGTCAACCACACCGGTTCTTCGAAGGCTCACACACTTCTTTTTTGTCATACCATTTGAAATGGTCCGCATTTATGGTAATGATCGTTTGAATTTGAACTTACATAACGAGCTTTTAGAACCAGTCTCTGATTGATGATGCAATTTAACGGTTCTCTCTTTATTGCGGCGGTTTTTTTTTCATTCGACTTTTATTTTTCATGTCTATTCTAAGCTTTTCGTGATTACAAAATTAAATGGTTGTTTTTTTTTATTGAATTTCAAATTCTATTTCTAATTTGTAAATTAATAAATGCGGCTTATATGCGAAATACAGAAAAAAAAACGTGCGCGCTTGTCCTTGATTCCATTTGTGTTTTTTTTTCTTCTCTCCTCTGCACTTGTGTTTCAATTGAAAATAATTTTACACTGAATTCGGAGTGAACTACAAAACGCGTGCGCAATGCTGTCTATTTACGTCAGTTGTATATCGCAGATTTTTGTTGAGATTAAGTCGAGTCGATATGCCTTTTTTTCGTAATTTACAGATTCTGATGATAATTTTATTATTTTATTTTGCTTCAACGGAAGTTCAGAAGGTTTTTCCGTTCTTTCATTCCGTTCACATAATTTTTGTTTTCTCGTCGAACATTGTTTTTCATTGACAATTCTAGTTTGTTGATAATCATGGAATTTTATGCCGCCGAAAATGTGTCATTGTTATTTTGTTGTTAACAACAGTATTTACGTAATAATTTTATGTTTTCGTTATCAACTTCAAAATAAATGGCTTGTTTGTCTTTAGGTTAGCATTGTAAATTATGCAATGATCTATTGTGCGCGCTTGAAATCCGATGCGAAAAACTTGCATTTGAACGAATTGAAATGGAATTGAATGCAATCATCAATTGTGCAAATGTGTAAGGTAAACAGAGGCTGAGAGAGACAGAGATTGTTTGTCATCGTTTTTATTCAATGACCACTGAGCAAAATACGGCATCGCTTATCGACACTCTTTCGATCGAATTTTATCTATTGATTCTGATATTTTCCGCAATTTTTATGCGCATACGCCAAGTGAATCACTTGAGTTGGCTTTCAATAAGCCGAGTGTCTATGTCATTGCTTTATTTAAGTGTAAGATCATTGCTTTATAGGCACAAGTGAAAGAGAAAATACGGCAAAACTTTCTTTGCCACCAATAAACGTATGAAATGATTATAAAGATTTTATCTGCTCTATCAGAGCAGAGTACAGCAGAGTAGAGCAAAGCAAAAGACATCGAACGATGTTATACAATCAGTAGGAAGTGATGAATAGTAAACAGTAGTTCAACTAGCACCGCTCGTAAAATTTGCACGTTTCCATGGGTTTTTCTAAGCAAAACACAGAAAAAATGCAAATTAATTTTGAGATTGCATCATAAAAGCACACAAATACACCAAAGCCTACATTTGAAAACCACACTGATGCAAACTAGCAAATAATTTTCGAGGAAATGCACAAACCAAAGCACTCAATATGAACATTGCAACACAGAATCAATTTTCATTTATAGCACTGGAAAACTCTTTGTGGTCGGAAAGGAGAAATTAGATTTAAAAAAATCCTACGAAATTTCGAATAAAATGGTTTAATACTTACGGACATCGGTTTTTGCCGATACTGAAAGTGCCAAAGTGGCTACAACGAATAAGAAACTCCACATTTTGTTTTGATTTTAATAATTTAGAAAAATAATCAATTTTAATTATCGAAATATTTTTGACTAAAAAAAAAATTCCAAAAATACTTTTGAAAAAAAAAATGATATCACTTTTTGGTTGAAAACTAAAAATTGGTTGTAAGTTCGAAATAATTTCTAAAAAGTTGAATTCTAATTTTCAATCTCGTTGAATTTCAAATTTCTTGAAATTATTCACAAAATTATCTATGATTTCGATTGAGATTGTTGTAAGTTGAAGATCTCGAATACGACTGACTGCGCCACGACTGTACAAAATGACTTTTAATAGCGCTCTAAACTACCACATTGAATGGATGATGTTTTGTTTTACTGTCTCAGACATCTTCTTCGCGATTTTTCGCGCTAGCTATTCACAAAGAAGAAGAAAAAAACGCTCTCGCATACAAAAATCGGGGAGTGAATTCCAAAGGAACGAGATAGAAATAAGTATGTATAGCAACGAAAACTGAACAGAAGCGTACGCAACCCATACACTACAACGATATGTTTACTAGCCTAGTGTATACACACAGCATGAACCTGCCACTTGAACAGCTTCAAGCAAACGCCTGGCAAAAAACATCAACCCAAATGGTGCACAGCGATGGATTTGTGGTGGTAGTCAATCGCCTGTGAGCTAGACAGTGCTTGAACGGATTGTCGACGGTATAATACGCCAAACCATTTACAACTACACTTCAGAGAGGGAAAAAAGCCATTTTGAGACTGGCGCAAATTTCTTCAGTCAATCGAAACGCGAATGCAATCGAAAGTGATAGATATTCAGTAGACAGATTTACGACAGTGGTCGCAAACGTGCCAATGTAACAAAGATATGCTAAACGAGCGGTATTTGCTATTTACCGATGTATTCAATCTTACTAATGAAAGGTAAACAGATGGAAAAACTTCAATCCAAGCAAATGGACTCGAAACAATTTGAACATGTGTTGGTTTTTAACAAACCAAAACAGAATTTATGAGAATCGTTTTTTTCCACGTTCGAGTCTCTGGTCTTTGGATGGAATTAATCCGCAGCATCGATTGTAATCGGCTTTTATAATTTTATGATTTTATTGGCATATTGACTTGATCTTCTGATTTCTTTGAATTGACACATATTCCACATTTCATTCAATCTGTCAAAAAAAAATGCAACAAAAAACCATTAAAAATTGCTGTAGGTTAATGTGATTTATTCGAAGAGTGTGTGATTTTTTTGCCACAATTCACTTTGAGCCAGCGACAGTGACAAAAGTTGCACATGGCCATCGTTATCTTAGTTTGGCTTCGTTTATTTTTATCTGTTTGACCACCATGACAGATACACACGATACTGCACGAAACAGCGGATACATGTTTAAATATTTATTGTGAGGCAGCGATAAATTCTCATTGATATGGATTGCTGTTGTCGTTGTCGTTGTCGTCGTTGACGTTGACTATTTTTATTTGCTTGCATGGACTGCTTTGAATTCATTTGTTTGCATTCGCACATAAACCGAGATCGTTATGTAATGTGTCGTCGTCGTCGTCGTCGTCGTCGTCGTCGTTGTTGCTGCCGTTGCAGCCGTTTGTCGTAGTCTAAAAACTAGGTTCAAGATCAAACTAGTTACGAAAGCTGCATAATTTTCTCACTATCACATTAGACATTACGCTGTTTGATGTTCATACGTCACAGCACTTCATGATGAGAAGAAAAAAATGCACGTGAAATGTTCGTCATGCGTAGAAAAGACTAAAATTGTCCACATCAAAGTCTGAGAATGTCAAAATGTGAAGTGGGCACTTTTCAAAACAGTGAACCCCTTCTGAAATTACAATCGAACAAGGAAGAGAATCGTTTTTTTTTTCTTTCGGTTAAACGAAAACGAGTCAAAGCAAGTTACCGGCGAATAAGTGATTTTATGCTCGACTCGTTCGACACTAAAATTGTATGTTCATTTGGATAACAATTTGCAAATGAAAACAAAGAGACTTTTATATACTTGACATTGAAAAAAGGTATAGTTGTTGCTTTAAAATAGGTTTTTGCCTGTTGATGCTAAAATTGCATCACGTTAAACGTGTTTTGTTCGGGATAATGAACAAAGGTCCAACATATGCGCACCAAAGAAATTCTGATCTCAATTTTTTTCCATCATTTACACGTACCAAAACTTGTATCAGAATTGTTTCAAAGCTGAAAATCAAGAAATGGACTGGTTTTGTGTGGCCGTTTTTTTTTCTCTCTCTCTCCCTCTCGTTCAGATATGAATTTTGAAGTGTGTTAAATTGCCTATTTTAACGTTTGGTAGACATTTTTTTTGTCAAGAGACAAGAAAAAACAAACGAACCGATTTTTTGGCATTGATTTTTGTTTAATGTTGCGGCATTTGGAGCGACACAACTCTATTCATACCTTTCAAAGACATACACACACCGAATTCAATTTAAAGCCGGCGTTGGACATTGAGATTTCGTTTTAAACAATTATTATCCGAATAATTCACGTGAAAAGAAAATTCTGTGTGACCATCAAATGACCATCTGGACGAGACACCTATTATGTAAATCACTTTCAAAATCGACACATCGGAATGCTGTTAATCCAGATTCTCCGACGTCGCTGTAATTTTTTCGGCTCTAATTTATTACACATTTTTATGTTTTTTGTCTGTTTACAACACATTTTTGTTGTAAAATTGATATTGTCACCAAATCATTCTTTGTTCTTTACATCCTGGTGAGAGATTCCATTTGTTTGCCCTTTTAATTGATTCTTTGCTGCGGTTAGCCATTTGGCATTCAAATTGAGTATGTGTCAATTGTGATATATTCGTTTTTTTTTTACAGTGAATCATGTATACTTCGATACGTCTTTTATGCTCGTTCTTAATGGCGGGAACTCCGACCGCATGGTCTCTATATTTGGAATCGTTAACAGGGAAGCAATGATGAATATTTGCTAATTGTTATTGCCAACAGAGAACATGGTTCAAATGGAATGATATTGAAAAAACAAAAAACCTTACGAAAACAAAGAAAGAAATATGTGTTAACCGTCATTGATGCTTTCATCCAATGTTCGGATACCGCATTTTCATCCGATGCTTTTTTCATGTCAAAATAGAATTTGATTTAAAATTCAAAAAGAATCAGCCTCAACGAATGACGGTGACGTCTATTGACAGAAGAAGAATTTGGTATTGCGTTGCAGGGTTTATCGACCCACAACCAGCCGGATTTAATTTGTGACAAATCGTAAACATATTTGATAAACAAGTGAAATTCTCCCATTTATCGTTTAATCCTAGAAATTTCTTTGAATTTAGCCATAGGGTGGAAGCATCAACGAAATTCAAACTGGCGCGCTGTTTAGTTCAGAGAAAAATTACGAAATTACATTGATTTTCCTATTGAAATTGAGGGCGCTCGTGTCGCCACAGTTGTCATTCAAGTCTTATCTTCCTACCGATGAATTTAGCTTATTAATATTCTTGCGGTGCAAAAAACCGATCGATTTGTTTTAAACAAAACCAGTTTGATTTCATCTTTGATCACACGTGTGCAAGGGGGGGTATTCCGGTTTTACCCCCCTAGGATTTTTTTTTTTAGTCCTCACTTTTTTCGGAGACTGGTTTTACACTAGATAGAATTGATTTCCAAAAGTGAGGACCTTTTTTTTAGGTCTTCATTTTTTTTCACACCCATTTATAAATTTGCAGACCTCCCTGGCAAAATCATTTTACCCCACTAGAATTTTTGACCTTGCACACGTCTGTCTTTGATCGGCAAAATAATTGATTTAATGATTCTACACGTTTTCTCAAACTTCAATCTATTTTTAAGTCTTACAAAATGGACATCAACGGTTGCGGCCAAAACAACTGTTCGACAAAATAGCTTTAATTAAAGGTGACTTTGATTTAACCGAAGCTTCTTTATCATAGAAGAAGCAACGTATTACAATTAATCTTAAATACAGACAGAAAAAGGAACATCGAGCAAGTTGACTTGCAAATCTTACGGGCTTTTTTATATAGTGGTTTTATGGTTTATTTTCTCTACTTGTTCTCCGATGTCACCTATCAGTTGGTTTGTTGTTTTTTATTTTTTTTGGTTCGTTCTGTGAAATGAACAACAATCACCTCAATATCGTCAACAACGTCATCGACTTTGACCATGAACGGTATGAACAATTGTACAACACGCACTAAAATGATTCGACTTGAATCGTGTCGGCGCTCGCCATGTGCCACAGATATGACACATGAGAGAAACAAATCGTTTTTGTTTATGTCGAAAACTTCATTTACACGAAATCGGAGATAACAACGAAAATGCTGGCAACGTGCTGAATTCGGAAACACTTCTGGCATAAATTAAATTTATCTCCGATTCTTGAAATTCATTCATGGTTTTCGGGGGTTTTCGACGATTTTTTTTGTATTGGAGATTGTACTTAAATAAACTTTGAACGACATTTTCGTTTATTACGACGTTGATTCTGATGTCTTGTTCCGATTTTTCAGGTGACACAATTCACGGTTTTAATTCGGTATATTGACTTGGATCTAGTTCAGAGTTTTTAAAGTTGAAATTTAATTTTTTGTCAAGAAAATATTTACACATTAATCTCAGCCGTATTTAAGAGCATATATACTAGGGTGGATCGATTTTTAAAATCGCAAGAAAAAAAAACCTTGGGTGCGCGTTCGATTTGGCACCTCAAAAGAAGAAACTTTTGTTCTGGGACATATGCCGAAAAGTC